AAACTTTCATGGTCACTAACATAATTATTATTACTGACAGGATTGCTACCATGCACCTACCATGATGTTACATGTATGTAAAATTAAGGTACATGGTAGCAATCCCGTCAGTAGGTAATAATAAATATTACTAGTTCTATGTTACAGCAAAATGTAAGTGGGTCATTCCATAAAAATCTGTATAATTTCGACGTCATTTTGTCCTAAACTTTTTTAAGATGCTTTTGAATACTTTATTAGTGTAAATTATAGTTTATGTATTAATTATGTTATGTCTAAAAGGGCCAGTCACTTTATGCTTTATTTTAGGAGAAATTATAATTTTTCAATTTTTTCATACTACACTACCCCTATATGACTTTTATAATAAAGTATAAAATTTTAACCTTAACATTTATAGATAAGTTAATATACTTAATGTAGTTGTTTTGTTATTATCGCTGTATAAAAAACGTCATTCCCTAACTACTAACTTAGTCCCTTGTGCCATTTAAAGCTAGGGCCTGACGGTCTAGGGACTGACGATTTGGAGTAAAACTTAACACAAATGCAGATTAACTTTATATTATAAGGTGCTTAATACAATGTGCCGAAAATAGCCGAAAATCTACACGTAAATACTATTAAATTATAATACAATTTCCTATTGTAATCAATAAAGCTACTCAACTAGGGACTGACGAAGTGACTGGATCAACACATGTTTCCACAACAACTGGCACGCGTGCACTTATTCAAAAAACGACTGCCGCAAAGCCAGTATAATCTGAGGATAACTTTGTATCGTACTTTAAACTCAACTAAATGTCATTCACTCTAAATACATATTAAAGCGCAAAATTATAAAATCAGTGCGTAGCGAGGGAATGGCGCTAAAAGCTGTAGACACTTTTTCAACTTAAGAAAATCAAATTATTGTTTATTGAAACCGCAAAATATTAATAGAATTTGGTGTAATGTACGTTTAAATAGATTATTCGTTAATGAAAACAAAGGATCAAGTTGATGTTTCTATAAATATGGGTTCCAAAATACACTTTTGGAGTACGGACCTGCCTAGGGAATGACGTTTTGGGTCATTTAAAAGGTATTTAAGATTTTTTTTAAATATTTTTAGAAAATATAAATGGGTGTTGAATAAAACACATTGCGAGCTGTTATTTAACAATTTTGGAATAAAATATTAAGAAATATTCCATGTGAAATGTGGCGCTGACTAAGAGTTGACATATTTTTGTGGCATGACCCAAGTTTATAATTTTTTATTTTTAGTTCACTGTAATTAATCCTACTAATATTATAAATGCAAAAGGTTGGATGTCTGGATGTTTGTTACTTTTTCGCGCAAAATCTACTAAACGGATTTTGATGAAACTTTACAGTATTATTGTGTCCAGAATAACATAATATTATAGGCTATAATTTATGACGATCTGTGACAAACGAAATTTAACGCGAGTGAAGTGCGGGCAAAAGCTAGTTGTAAATAACTGTAAATAAATATAATGAAAGTAAGTAAGTAAGTAGGTAGGACGTAGGTTAACCAGCGTATTCATTATAAATCACTACTTGGACGGCACAAGGAAGCTAACACATTAAATACCTAGTTTAAAAGTCATTAAAGCAAATAAATTATTAATTTTATTCTAATGAAGAAATTATTCTATTCATTAATACGTTAACTTACCGAACAAGAGGAACAACAAGGGAACATATTTCACCATTGTAGTTATAAAAGTAAGATTGATTATTTCACTCAAATTATTATTATATTAATATAAAAACACCACTCTACTTCCAATGATTCTAGTAGAATTATTTATTTAGATCGTCTCTCACAAAAATCACGAACCAACGAACCGAACAAATCATTAGACCAGGGTGAGGAAACTTCCATACTACGCTCATCCAAGTGAAGCTTGCTTACAAACAGCGACATCTGTCGGTAGAATCAAATACTTTTTACCTACTCTAAAACGCTCTAGATGTCGCTGCTCCTGTTTCCTTCATATTTTCTTTTTTTCCTTATTAAAATATATTTGAGAATATTGTTAATTACTATGTGAAAACTTTTTTAAAAATGAAATTTATTTGTTTTAGAATTAAAACTGAAAAGTGTCATTTTTTGTTATAATTTACATAATAGAGTAGTAGAAATTACTATTTAACATATGGCAACTTTGTGTTTCCTCCAAAATGGCCGGTGTTGTTTTTGTTATGATAAATGTGTCGGCGCCGGACACAGATGCTGCAAATTATTATTGATGATTAATAGTACCAATCTTAATAATTATTATGTTATCTGTATAAATCTGTAGAGCGGAAAGTTTGTGATTCCTAAACGTAACACCTGACTAATGCGCAGAAAAAGGTAACTGTCAATCAGTTGTGTCATGTCAAGTGTGAGCAAGCGGCTATAGTTCCAAAATACTGGACTGTCCTGTCGATGACATTGACAGTGGGGCGCCACCGTCAATACCGGATCGCTGGTTCAGATTTTTGCCATGTTGGAAACCATATAGTTGAACGATGGTAGCGCCCCCCTGTCATTGAGTTTGGCGGGACAGTTCAGCGTGGGTCATCTATACGAGGTTATCTTTGAAAGCGTATTGAGTTTGGTGGAACGTTAAATTGTAGGGAAAGTGATTGTCAACCATCCAACATATTATTATCTCCTTGCCCGCTAACCCACGCCAATGGAGATTCCACCCCTAGAGTTCCTTCTGATAGAGACCCAGTGCCTTTGAATGCATTTTTGTTTTCTTAGCTATCGTATCGTTCTGTGGCCCTATTGAGTTTTGTTCGTTCCTTCACGAATCGCGAAAAGACTTTCTGTTATGTTTACAACAATGTGATCTGTCTTCTCAATGTGCAAATGTTTTTTTTTTATTTGTGTTGTTGAAAACTTTGCGAAAAGACGCTTTTGGTGTATATTATGTGTGTTCATTAAAGTAAAATTAATAAATTCAAAAGTTTTTGTTTATTTGCATTTCCATGTACAATGTAGATTTTTTCCAAATCCATTGTTTTGAAAATAATACAATACGTACACCATAAAGATAAATATTTTCAAAATTATGGATTTGAAAAAATTCTACATTGTACATCATAAAAACAATAATTCCTTGAAGTTTATGAGTACCTATGTGTGCGTGAACTGTGTGTATGTGTGCGTTACGTAGGTTTAGTACAAGGATTCTAACACCAGAGCCCCGATTATTAGGTTCAAAAATTTGTATTACTTTGCTCTGTGCATCAGACACTAACTTTATCACAGACACAGATAATATGGATTAGAGAACTTTATACAAAAAGTAAACGTCATTAGTGTCATTTTAGCGAATTTTTGTGATTGCCGCAACGTAAAAATAATCGTATCATCGTACTGCAATCGCAGTCATCGAATAATATCGTGTGAATTCGTGTGACTCGATCCGACAATTAATTAATTCCGATAAAACTGATATTTTGTTTAATTTATAGCTAGTCCCTGATCCGAAGTAGCTATAGTTATAGCAAGTATCTAATCCACATGGATTAAAATAATTTTGTAGCGGCAAATGTCATTCTACAGGGTGTTAGGTAAATGGGTATACAGGGTGGAAACGATAAGTGATCTCACTCGATTATTTCTAAACTATACAAGATATCGAAAAACTGGTTATTGATCCTGAAAGTGCTTCACAAGCTCTTTCAAACGGTATCAGTAATAGGTTACAAAATTAACTGGATCTATCCAAAAATTAAATGTTTTCAGGTTCCATACTAAATGTATGCCAGCCACACAATATTAGAAGTGTTAATTTTTTTTATTCAATAATAAACACTTAAATTGAACTCCAAATTGCATTCTTATTTAAAATTATTCATAAAAAAACATTGCTTTAGGCTTTACTTGCTATAATACTATCAAGACATGAGTGCCATGACTGTGGCAGTACTAAATGTATGGAAGCTGGAAACATTGAATTTTCGGATAGATCCAGTTTATTTTGATACCTATTATTGGTACCGTTGGATAGAGCTCGTGAAGCACTTTCAGGATCAGTAACCGGTTTTTGGATATCTTGTATAGTTTTTAATATTATGTGGTTTTTACTAAATGTATGGAAGCCGGAAACATTGAATTTTCGGATAGATCCAGTTTATTTGGTAACCTATTATTGATACCGTTAGATAGAGCTCGTAAAGCACTTTCAGGATCAGTAACCGGTTTTTGGATATCTTGTATAGTTTAGAAATAATCGAGTGAGATCACTTATCGTTTCCACCCTGTATAAGCCGACACTAGCCCATGCGCTATTAACATGCGCATATAAATGGTATGGTGAAGTCAGAAAATTGATATCTTCATTTTAATTTTCATACAAACCGGATTTTAAAAAAAATATTTTGTATGAAAATTAAAATGATGATATCAAATTTCTAACTTCACCATACCTGTTATATGCCTAAGTCACAGAATNCATCGAGCTGCTTGAATGGCCTGCCCAGTCACCAGACCTGAACCTCATCGAGCATTTGTGTGGTCTATTGAAGCGCAAGGTCCGGCGCCATTCAATAATAACAAAAGAAGACCTAAAACATCGCTTGCGAGAAGAGTGGAACGCTTTAACATGTGACGATTGTAATAAATTAGTACAATCTTTACCAAAAAGAATTTCTGCAGTAATTAAGGCGAAGGGTGGTCCAACAAAGTATTATTTTTTTGTTGTAAATAAACAATATAAAACTGTTAAAAACTGTTTTGATTCAGACACATGTATAATTCCTTCAAAATTAATAAATAACATGGGTGCTCAATACTTTTGGCCAAGGCTGTATGTTGCTGTCGCGCTCGCAGGCTTACTGCGGGCGCCCGTCGCACAGTCGCGACAGCAATATAATTACGTGCGAGCAATAAGGATGGGTAGCTTGGGGTCATTGGACAAAATTCTACGTGCTCACGGACCAGGCTTTAGTCTACAACACTCGTCGGAGCGGCTCCACCGACTGCGGACGGACAACAAACTGCAGATGCAGGTCAACAACCTCGAGCTGCGGCTGCGGGACAAGGACGCGCTCATCGCAGAGCTCAACAGGTAGGCTGTGGCAAGCTGAACTCTATGGCTGTGGCATAAGTGCTAGTTTACAACACTCGTCTTGTCGGAACGGCTGAGCCAGCACTGCGGGTGGTTCATTTTCATCACTGTATTCATAGTCACGTACGTCCTTGCAAACGTAGTTCAGATTATGATGATCAATATAATAACGATGTTCAAATTAATTACCTTGGGGCGTACTTTGAGTTTACGTCAAACGCATTCGATATCGACTGTTAAAAAAGTGACATTAAATGTATGACGGGTTGTACAGCGCCTCTAACGGAAACTGCCAAGAAATAAAAACTTCATTTTTTTTTAACGCAATAATATCGAATGCGTTTGACGTAAACTTACACTACGCCCCCCTTGTCTCGGTGAATAAATATATTCTTTAATCTTGTGTTTCAATGAAAATAAGATCGCCCTTTGTGAACTCTTTGAAGCCTTTGATGGCAACAGCAGATGCACTGTCTAAGTTTGCCACTAAAGTCTGGTCCGTGAGCACGTAGAATTTTGTCCAATGACCCCAAGCTACCCATCCTTATCGCTCGCGCGTAATTATGTTGCGATCGCGCTCGCACACTCACTGCGGGTGCCAGTCGCACAGTCGGGCTTTAGATGGTGCTATGTATGTGTTCCTCACACAGTATTGTGTTTATGTAATAATTCGTGATGATATTATCGCAGGATCCGCGACAAGCTGTCCAACGACTGGCAGACGAGCAAGCTGCGCTACGAGGCCGAGCGCGACAACGTGGGCCGCCTGCAACTACTGTTACACACGCACAAGGAAACCGCCGAGAGTTTGCAGGTCGGATGACAGACCATGCTATTGTATTACTGTTTTGTATAGTCAGCGTCAGATAGATCGAAGCGTCTAAGATAGCCAAAATGATCTGATATTAAATATTTCATATTAATGTAACCAGTCAAAGTAAGCACATTGTTTAAGGCACCCAAAGTAGTCAATATAGAGCTATTCTCAATTTTATATGAGCTATCAGGACGTTCAAAAATATGTATGCAGATAGTTCAATCGTATCTAAGCAGCGACAAATACTTCGCGACATCCAAACTGGCCAAAAAGTTCGCGACACGTCTTTATTTCAAATGGTATAAGATTGTGTCGTCCAACGCTCGGGTACCGGTTAATTTAGTACTTTAAATTAACCGGCAACCACCGCAGGCTCCCAAGCCTTGAAAAGGGCCGCCTTAAACCACCCGTTCCTTAGTTTGGTGCACCTCTTCCTTGCACTCTCCTGAACGACTCTGTGTTATCTACTATAGCTACCCCTCTTCGTTACACATTTCGAATTGACACAATTTTACTAATGAACTACTTTTCTAATTAAAATAGTAAGACACGGGTCTTAACGCGACGTTTATTAATGAGTTACATTATGTACAAGTCTGCTTGTGACCACGGCTGCAACGTCGCAGACGAAACGTCAAGCCATGAGTACATAATGTAGCTCATTAATAAACGTCGCGTTAAGACCCGTATCTTACTATTTTAATTGAAATAGAACGCGAAAGTTTAAAATCTTATACTCTTCTAATTATGTATTTTCTTCCCAGAACCAAGACTCCAACATGATCCAGATCCTCAAGAAGCGGCTGGAAAGCGCGATGCAGTCCGAAGTGGATCTACAGCAGCAGCTGCAACACGCGCGGACGAGGGTGGCTCATCTGGAGCGACAGTTGTTGGCCAACGATGCTGGTGGGGATGACGCGGTCAAGGCACAGCTACAGCATGAGGTGTGTATTATGTTCATTTATTTTTGATCAGATACAGTTAAAATCAAAAATATTTATTCAATTTAGACCACAAGTGGCACTTATGAACGTCAAAATATAGTAAATATTAAAAAAAGGAAAGGTAGCCCTTATGGGGCACTTTACATGTCTCCTTATCTTTTGGGCCCTACCAGCGCTTCGAGACAAACATATGGCAAGTGCTGTGAAGAAACGCCGGAACAAACTCAGTTTGGTATTGGTGCATTAAATGTACTCGTAATTGCTGTTTGCAGTCAAAATTACGGCTATTTTATCTTCGCTTTTTAACAAAGGATTTAAAAGTGTATAAGATAAAAGTAACTTTACTTCGGAGTAGAAACATTTTTCAAAAAATAATGAAGAATATAATTAGATAAGCAAACAAGGATGCTTATAAGTCCATTCGATTCTTGGTATACTTTGAAGTTAGAATTCTTTGTTACGCCATGAATTCCATATCACCTGTGGTCATACTACATTGCTCTATTCCCTGGATGCATAATCACCGAATGTGATATACGTTTCACCTAATAAGTTCCGTGAGCACGTAGAATCCCGTCCAATGACCCCAAGCTACCCATCCTTATCGCTCAATTATATTGCTGTCGCGACTGTGCGACGGGTGCCCGCAGTGAGTGTGCGAGCGCGACAGCAACATAATTACGTGCGAGCGACAAGGATGGGCAGCTTGGGGTCATTGGACGGGACTCTACGTGCTCACGGACCAGGCTTTAATAAATGACGTTGTACATTTTAAACTCTTATTATAATCCCCAGCTGGACAACAACGAGCGGCTTCGCGGCGAGATCTCTGTGCTCAAATCTAAGCTGGAACTAGAGCGCGGGCGCGCGGCCGACGCGCGCGCGTCGCTGGAGCACGTGCGCGCGCGCGGGAACAAGGAGCTGGACGCCGCGCGCGAACACGCCACCGCCGTCAAGAACGAGCTGGCTGATGCTAAGAGGTATGCCTCGAGATCTTTGAGCGAAACAGTGATACTACCCACTGTATCATGTCACCATTTCACCTATGATTCACAATAAAGATTTTTGTATTTGTAAGTATTTGTAAATGTTCTTTCAACATTTGTTCTTGAAGCAATTATTTTGATCAAAGCTGACAATTAATTTCTTACGCTGCTTCTTCTCAGCACTCACCCATTTATTGTCACTGTAGAGTTATTACTGGGACGTGTAAAACTATTTTTTAAAAGCCTACTTACAACAATTTTAATGAGTTTTATGAGTTCTTTTTACTTATTAAACCCGTAACATGAACCCTGCTACAATATCACAATAAAGGGTTATGTGTGCTAACCAGTTAGCGCCGCTGGCGAATGACAGGACCTTACTTTCCAGTGGTGCCACTGTCTTAACTACAAGCGAGTGACAGGAGCATACTCTTTAGTGGCGCCTCTGTCTCAGCCACAAGTGAATGACAGAACCTCACTCAACAGTGGCGAGAACTGGTGAGGGCAAATACGAACGCCTCATTAACAAACATTCAAAGTGCACAAGACTTTCTCCGCGTGCTCTGTTTTCCTAAAAGCCTTAGCATGATGATGATGAAGAGGATGTTTAGGTTCGTATGCCAATTCAAACGCACTTAAAAGGAATCATCGAAACCCATATCAAAATACTCATTGATGAAGTATCAACATGTAGCTCTAACTGCAAAATATTTTTACACTAACATTTTTAAATAATTGTTTCTTTACAGGTTAAAACATGAAGCGAGCGTCGAGTTATTACGGGCAAAAGAACTGCTCAACATCCAGAGTGACACAATTACTGAGCTGGAGAAGAAGTTGATGGCTTCGGCCAAACAGCGACCGATGGCCGATACACTGGTAAGTTCATAAAATTAGAATTTATTGCCATTGGCTTTTAACGAGCACTTTTTCACTGAGTTGGTTCATACCAATTGGTAAAAAATATGTTTTTTACGTTCACTTTAAACAATGCAATGTTTCTTTGTAGACTTCAAATAAGCGGGTTATATGTCATACGATCAAATTATTAAATTCATGATCGTTTTTTTATCGTTTAGTTGTGTTGGTATTTTTACTCAGCTACTTTTCAGGCCAAAACTCATAAAAAAACGCATAAAACTCGTTTTTTTATGCAAATAGGCTTTAAAAAAGCACTTTTTACACGTCCCAGTATAAATCCTACCACTGCTTCGGGACGATACATGGCCCAGTGCTGAGATGAAACAATGTCATCCATCAACCTGTTTGTTCATTTCCATACTACACTTTTTTCTTTAACCCATAATGTAACTTGACGAAATCTTTACAGACTGAGATAGAAACCCACAAGAGCGAACTATCTCGAGAAATCGCCGCGCTCAAGAAGTGCCTCGCCGACGCGCCGCAACTACAGGCCGTCCGCGCCGAGCGGGACATGTTGCAAGCCAAGCTGCAACAACAACAGCAGTTGCAGCAACAACAACAACCAGACGAGCGGGACCAGGCCGTGAGTCGCAACAACTATGTACAGTGTGACGGGCGGGTGTATAATAATGGGGGCTTTGATATCGAGGTGAACGGGTTAATGCATGCGACGGATAGGCCGTTTTGTGTGTACTTTTTACTTGATTGATAATTATTAGGGCATAGGCTTGTGGTATATTTCATCAAATGCTTCGCTAGTAGAGAGATAGGTAGAGTTCCTGTATGTTTCCAAGGATAAATTTCTATTATATTCGATTAGAATAAAGAATAATTTCAAATACAAGTAATTTTTACAACTGATAGGTATAATAATTTGAATAGTTATTTATTCCGTCTAAATAAGGAAAAAAGCTAGACTTCTCCTAACTCTTAGGCCACGTTAGCTGTTACAAAAGAAATAAACTAATAAAATGTGTATAACAGTATTTTATTCAAATAAATAATAAATAACAATCAATTTAGCAAAGCTCAAAAACAACAAAATCATTTTAGACTACCAAAAGATCAATGTTTCATGTTAGAATTTGTTTTGCTGGGCACCTCGTCGATGTAGTTGGTCACTTTGACGTCGGTGGAGCTGGTCCTCTCGCGGTCCTCAGGGCATAAAGGTTCTATGGCCCACAGAGTGACGGAATGCAACGCGTACATGACGCAGTACAGGCAGTACAATGTACCGGTGACGCTGGCCAGAGCGAGAGGGTACACGCGGTGGTTTAGCTCCGTCTCTGTCTTCCAGGATTCTTCGGTCCATGAGCGGAAGTATTGGCAGAGCTTCCTGGGAAAGGGATGAAAGTTTTGTTAGGTTCGAGGCGGCACAAAACATGTGATTTGTGTTAAAAGATTGTAGACTTTTTTCGAGGTACGCGTCCAAAATATAACTTGCTCCATCACTTTGGAATAGCCATTGAAGTGGCTCAAGGAACTCCATTACATTTTGTAAGAGTAGAACTTGTTTCATGGATAGAATCCGAAACAATACTGTGATCTAGGATAGAACAAAAGTAATTACAAAAATTTAATAAAAGGCAGCAGTTGAAAAATGCCGAAGGTAGCATGCGTAGCATCTTCGAGGAAATCTTCACCTTCCCATGATCCATGGTTGTACCTCGCAGTTATACCTGATCGAAGTCATCCTTAGGCAGATTTCAACCTTCTTCCACAAATAGTAGATCTTAGGGCCCTCGCCCACGGCGACTTTTTGTTGCTGTAGCGCGTTAGTAGCGCGTTGGCTTCACTTCTGTAGTGCGTTGCAAATGCGACTAACGCGCGTTAGTAGCGATGCTGCCGCGCGTTTCGTAGTCGCCGTGGGGAGAGCCCTTAGGCCTCAGCCTCGAACTTAGCGGGCAGCGGGGCGGGAGCGGCGGCGGCGCGGGAGCGGGGCGGGCAACGCAGACCCGTTCTCGAAACAAGCATGCAGCTCGCGCGGCGCTTTAGCGGCGAAATGTTGTGTTCGGGGTTATGTTGTCGAGAATCGAGATATTTGTTTTTATTCGCAAACGAAACGTCTGAACAACGGCGACAATTTTATTTCGATTCAAATTTATTCCTAACGCTCGATTTATTGTGGGCAAAAGAAGGAGTGCGCTGCCCGCTCGTTGCCCGCACCCGCGCCGCTGCCCGCTCGTTGCCCGCTGCCGCCCCGCTGCCGCGCCGCTGTTTTCGAGAACCGGTCTATTTGATTTTACGCATAAGATCCTGCCGCTCCCGCGCCGCCGCCGCCGCCGCCCCGCTGCCCGCTAAGTTCGAGGCTGAGGCCTTAGAATATGTTGAACTCACTTGAAGCTGGGCAGCGCTCGCTCCAGCACGCCGACGAGGCAGTGCAGCGCGTGCGTCAGCACCAGCACCACCACCCACACGCACAGCAGGTACGGCGGCCAGCGGAAGCTGCCCAGTGCCGCTGCGACACGAAACAATTCAAATTCAAATAATTTATTCAGTGCATAGGCCCTTTCTAGGGCACTTATACACGTCCCAAATATAGCTCGCCCTACCACCACTTCGGGACAACATATGAGCTGGTGATGAGAAGAAGTGGCGGAAGAAACTCAGTCACCTTTGTCATCAGCTGGCTGATTGTAAAGACGAAATTTGTGATCATGGGGTAGGGCTAGATTTGATCCTAAAGACCGCATCACTCTTCAACTGAGACTCGCTTATTTTTCGATAAAAATGATCAGAAATAAGAAAAAAAAAGTAAATTAAAAAGAATTACCAAGATTTGTAAACTTACCATAATTTGGTTATTTTATTTCAAAAAGACCCAAGTTATAGTAGCAAAAAATGACACAGTTTAGATACTAAACTTAAAAGCTGAAGATGATTACGAAAATTTCAAAACTTACAATGTTTTTTCTCACTAAAAGTAAACATTTACTGGCATGGGAAAGCAGTTGACCAGATTTGAAGGTGGACGTTAACGTACGATAAAGTCAGTTAAAGCGTTTGACAGAATAATAGTACGTTACGAACTGTCAAATGATAACGATTGCTTTACACAATTCCACCTCTGGATAGTTGAAATAGCTGTAATATTGCTAACGTTCAACCTAATATGATGAAGGGCTTACCTTGCACTAGAGCCCTGTTGGGTGCGCTGGCGTCGGGCGCGGGCCTCGTGACAGCTTCCACGGAACGCACGCGGTGCCGAGCTTGCAGCGCGCGCAGGGCGTGCTCCGACGCCGCGCGCTCCGTGCGAGACGTCTGCAACCAACACGTGCAATTAACAGCTTGGAAATGCATAATGAACAATAAACAATGGGCCACCTTCAGAATGAATCATAAAAGTCCGGAGTCGACAAAGTTTTTCTTTTTAATAAATAAGTGGGTCAATATTGAAAGGAAGCATTTTTAAAAACTCCGCCATTACACCAATGGACCGTTAAAGCATGTGGTGAATCGATAGTCGAAATGTAGCCATCAAATTTACAGATGGTTTTTTATCTGTATCGAACAAGCTAACCTGCATCTCACCTGAAGGAAAGAGATGATCAGGCTGAAGGTCGAAGGGAGCTGAAGATAGTAGCCGTTCTTGCAACTCCGTATGCTCGAAAATTAACCCACCTTCAACCGTTTACTTGACGATAACAAAACAAATATAATTGTTAGCGTACCGTGGGCGATATCCTCGCGTAAGACATGGGTGCCTTCTCCTTGAGTTTGTCCTCCGCCTTCGCCTCCTTCGCGTTCAGCTCGGTCTTGGTGAACGACGGGTGGTCACCGCACATGCTGAAACGATATCATTTAATAAATAAAACGTTCAACAAAACGGCAAACCTATTTTTCTTAGGGCCTCCGCTAAAACTCGCGCGGCTGCACTTAGCGGGTACCCGCGTGCGCTGTTCAAACTAATCTTCGATATCCGATATTGAGCCAGTGTTTTATGAAGACCATTTTTTGGTTAAAACTCGCTGTGGTTCGCACAGTGTTTTAAAAGGCCATGTGCCATGTCTAAGGATATTTATTATTATTATTTATTAAAATGTTTACTTGCATGTAGACTATACTTACACCATATCGGGCAGTTTGGGCACATCGCTACTGGGTGGATCCATGGTCGCTCTGTTAAATCGCTATATCACCATATTAGGCTGCGGGACTGTTGAATAATGTAAAAATAAAATTACGCGAAAATATGCCGGCTCTTCTGGCACATCGGGTGAGAATTCGCGGCGACTGTNACTGACTGTCATGCAATGGCATTGTCAGTTGCTTCGATTTTTAAATTTCATTTTATTCAAAGGTCGACTTTTATTGTTTCAATAGAGTTTTTATATCATGTAAGAATCATATTATTTATATCGTATAAGGGTGCGATTACACTGGTAGCATAGACTGGTGGTAACGATTTCGTGTTTGATTTAAAGCTTTAAACATCTTATGTTTATCATCTGGCAATGTGTGCCGCGATCAGTGTGTGATGCACCATATACACACATACAAAGTTTGATAGCCGCGGTTGCCCCGCCGTATTCCATGCGTGGACTCTGTAGTAACTGTGCGGTGTTGCAGGTGCGTGTTTTTAACGTTATGTCCCTCTCTCCCGCACCGCTCCATAAAACTCTATAAAACTCATTTATTTCTGTAAGTAGGCTTTAAAAAAGCACTTTTACACGCCCCAGTATTAACCCTACCACTGCTTCAGGACAATAAATGGGCCAGTGCTGAGAAGAAGCAGCGCAAGAAACTCAGACACTATTGTCAGCCTCTTTTTCAAAGGTTTACAGGTTTTCAAAATACATAGTTATAAATATTTATGCGAGCTAGGCAATGCCTTACTTATTGGCCATGATTTACTTAACACGTAGGCTGCCATGACAGTCACCGGTGACTGACAAACATGCAACCTATTCGGGCCATGTCAGTCACTGGAGCCTGACACTGAAGCATCTAAATCAAACGACCGCAGTAGGCCGCCTGGCACGTTTAATGCGTTACTTCCTATTTTAAATGACTGACGTGGCCCCCAACAAAGTATGTTCAGCATGGCCTGCAACTCTTGTACCTAAATAAAAATTAACACAGGTTTGAATGAAAATTTTAGTAAAAACACGACAAATATTTGAAATTCTTAATAAAATCACAAGTTTACGATATATTTCGGAATAAATTATTATTTGTGTAAAAAATTGAAACATTACAGACAAAAATTAGGCTGATTAGGGCTTTGAAGAGAGTAAGTTATAACTTGCTGTCTTTCTCGACTTTACACGACCGAAATTTGACAGTTGACCGACAGCAACCGGACAGAGCGATAGTATTCACGAGGGCTAAAGCGAGGAAAGCGATGCGACACGGTAGTTCCCGCCAAAACGCAGAAACGTGATTTTGTTGTGCCTGACAAAATGCTTGACATGGCGCTGTGACTGAAATTTATACCATTCGGGCCGCGTCAGGCACGGGTGGCTGACAGTTTTTTTTATGGGTATAATATGTCAATATAAATAGTAAAAAAATATTTTTTAACAATAACTATTCATTTCAAGCCATTACACATCGATTAGCAAAAAATTCAATTTTGGCGAATTAGTAAATTTACTTTGGCAGTCAACGTGTTAACCGATTGAGTCCCAGGACGGCATTAATTAATGTCATAACAATTGATTATCTATTGTGTCTAGATTCGCGGAGCTTGAAGGATTAATTAAGCGTCAAGCCTGCAGTATTTTTTCAACTTCGCCATTTCGTTAGGTCCGCTACCTGCACGGGCGCTGCGTGCGTCTGGAGAGCTGCCGCAAGGCGCTGGTGTGGCAGAAGCGCTACCTGCAGCGAGTGCTGGCGGGCTACGCCGAGCTGGAGCGCTCGCTGCGCCTGCCCGAGCCCCGGCCCAGCCCCGGCCTCAAGCGGTTCAAGTAAGTCCCCTCACATCGGTCAGGCAATACCCCCCGCAAAAAGCATTGTCCGAGGAACCACCACCCGTTCACCCTAGCCACCGAGGTCAGCTTGACATTAACCTCTTACCTACGGGAGGCACCTATTGTTGCCAAGTCAAAAGTCAGTTCTCAATACTGGTGGCATCTATTGTTGTTTTGGCAAAGCCAATACTAAATCACGGTTTACGACAAAAAAACAATAAAATTGCAAATGAAGTGTAAAATTCTCTTGTAATTATGAAACTAAACTAGTTGCAGAATATAATATTCCTAATTTCAATACCGTAAGTCTCATATTTTTTTTAATATCTTGATGAAAAGTGGAGCGAACAATTTCATAGATTCCGACCTTGTTGGCGAGGACCCGCATAGCGGTCCCACTAGATCCGTCCCTTGTTCTCGCGGTACTGACATGTCTCCGGCCGCTTCTTTCCATAAACCTATATTGAGACATCCAATCAAAAATATTTTATTCAATTTAGGCCTGATTTAAAATTTTATTCTTCAGTTAAAAGTTATCCGGTCATTGAAAAATCAGGCCTTAAACCAGTATATTGTGGCACTTATGAACGTCAAAAATAAAAAAGGGTAGCCCTCCTTTAGGAGGTTCTGACCCGCGCCTTACGTTTGCAAATAATAACTTATTTGAACCTATTAAAGATAATATTTGATCAGACATTGTCTTAGATTTTCTCAACATGGCAAAAATTGGTGGCAAATAGTGGCGCCCTCTTGTCAATGTCTTGTATAATGTTTTCCTTTTTTGTATTTAAAATGTTGGTTGGAGAGGCACCCGCTGAAAACCAGCGTCGGGGCACGCGTGGCTCGATTAATGCTGAGCGGGCGCCTTTTTGGCACAAAATATGCGTGTATAGTTTTAAGTCCCTTTGTTCTGTTTTTTTTTGTTTTCTTTTGTGTCAAATAAAGTTTTTCTTATTCTTATTTGTTTGTTATTAATGTCGCTGTCTCTGCAGGTGTGCGGCGCTGGCGGTGGTGGTGACTCTTCGCATGGCGTTCCTGGTGCGGCGCCGCTCGCACGCGCGCGCCGCCTCCGCTGCCGTGCTCCGACATCCAGACTCCGCTAGGAATACCACGTGCGTATACAATATTCACCCTTATGTTAAGTAGCAATAGGTTCAAGTTTGCTAGTCCAATGTAGCGTACACAAAATTGAATCTTGCGCACGTCACCTCTACACTAACAGGAACACCACGTGTGTATGAAATATTCACCTTTGTGTAAAGTGTCAGTAGGTTCAAGTTTGCTAGTCTAGATGGGCTAGGATGCGCGCCGTGCTATACTCTTATCAACGTCAAAATAAATAAATAAATAAATCTTTATTTTACTCACACAAAAAAATCGAACAGAATTACATAGTGAATGTATAAGATACGTTTGATGCTCATTCTTGTGTGAGTCTGATGCCTATGCTAGGTATTTAGTATACCTGTATTACAGGTCATCAGGCTCCCACCACCTCAGGTCACTAAGTATCTTCTATGTGCCATAATCAGCTTTCATTTTTCACTTTAATATTAACTTAAAATGTATGGGCAAAATAGATAAAATGGCGTGATAACCGCTTATCACGGTGCGCATCCTAGGCCTACAGTGTAGCGTACACAACATTGACTCTTGCGCACGTCACCTCTACGTTAACAGGAACACCACGTACGTATGCAATATTCACCCTTGTGTAAATGTCAGTAGGTTCAAGTTTGCTAGTCCGGTGTAGCGTACATAACATTGACTCTTGCGCACGTCATCTCTACGCTAACAGGAACACCACGTGCGTACACAATATTCACCCTTGTGTAAAGTGGCAATAAACTCAAGTTTGTTTGTCCATTGTAGCGTACACAACATTGACTTGCGCACGTCAGCTCTACGCTAACAAGAATACCATGTGCGATAAGTACACCCGCTCTTGGGTGAAGCTTCAGTAGGTTTTTGTTGTCCAGTGTAGTGTACAAAACCTTCTTCTTCACTTTTGCGCCCATCGTGAGTCGAAATAGTATCTGCCATTTCAGTGGACACCAGTTGGCGCCACTGTCTTGGCCACTAACGGACATTTACGTACCGCAATGACAGATGGTGACGTGCAAAGAATTGTTAAACAAGTGTATCGGTTACTAGCATGTCTTTGCCTTACTTGCGAATAAACGCTAGTTCTTATCATAATGAAGAAATCCCTTATCAATCTTTTACTAAAGTATAATACCTATGTTTGTTCTCCAAACCGTATTAGATAACCCATGTCTACCAAATGTTTTAACAACTAGTACAAGTCCGTCCCACTAAAGCCTTCTATGTACCCTCCTAACAGCCACAAGTTAAATAATACCCATGTCTACCAAAATGCAATAACAACTAGTACAAGTCCGTCCCACTAAAGCCTTCTATGTACCGTCCTAGCAGCCACAACGCGTCGGCGTCGCCCGCGCCGCGCCCGCTTGCACCCCGGCCCGCGCTGCGGCGAGACTTGCGGCTACACCTGCCCGCCTCTCCCAACAGTCAGTAGACACACGTCTAATAATATTGTGTATAGTTTTGTTTGATGAAGTATGTAAGAGACAAGATGAAAATACTTTGGGTGGAGAATCAGACTTATACCAGGCCTGTTCATCTCCGCGAGTTTACATCGAAAACAAAACACGCACGATGGCCCACCTACAGGATACTATTCGACAAGGCCTCACATACGAGCGAAAATTGACTCACGCACGCGTATTCTTGTGTATGATGTATGATGGAAGAAAATAAAGAAAATGGTGTACTAAATACTGTGCAGTATTTAACTGCCTAAATAATAATAAAAACAGAATGTACTTTTTTAAGTTGCCTCAAGACACTGAGAGGTAAATAAGTAGTTAATATTATTCATGATAATTCATGCTAAATCATGTAGGTATTTCCTCCGCCATTTTCCGCAGTTTGGCACCTCACGTCACATCATTTTACCGAAGTCAGCCCTATAGCTTCGGCGCAGTGCCGATCACTGACGTTTGTCAACAAAATGGTGCTTGACTCTTGAGACAGGCTAAATTACACCATATTGTTAATGACATTGAGCATACATTTTTTTAAATACTTTCGCGAAGTAAAACTTCTGTACGTAGTACTTATTATTATTCTGTGCTTATACTTTTAAAGAATAATAGTAATTTAGAATATTGACGAAAGATTGTGGAATTTTCTATCGAAAAACTATTTTGATCAACCTGTTCCTTATCCCTTAAATACAAATATCCCATTTAGAAGGTCCTCCTGTTGCTAACACGTTCCCACTTAGATTTTTTAAGCACACATGATCAAAGTTAAGTAAGTGAATGTTAGAAGTAGTTAATGAACGCTCAATTATTTGTATTTCAGTGGATGACTTCGTTAGAAGATCGCCGTACAACGTCAACTCGTCACACAACGATCCCTTTATACTAAGGTCAGTACAGTATGATATCCTGCATAAGTTTGTAACAGTATTATTTCCATAAACTGGAGGCCACGTACCGAAAAACGCAGCGTGAGACGTCCACCCAAAAGGTGGACCGACGACCTCATAAAGGTAGCAGGAAGGCGCTGGATGCTGGAACCGGGCGATATGTAAATTATTAGTTTAACAAACAAACAAATATCCTTGGACATTTTACATTGCGCCGCTAGCTTGCTAGCTTGTACTATGGGTACTAGACAACGGATATAAACATACTTAAATACTTTTTGGGGAAGGCTTTTTTTTGTTCAGCAATGAAGTCCTGTGGCTGATATGATAATGATGATGAAACTGAGCACTTTTTCATACTTATTTTATAGAAACAAACTCTTCAGCCCTTACATTGGTATAAAAAAGAGTACATTTTTCGAATGCACATTATACGTTAGATCTCTTTCAAACGTTCTCTTTATTAAATGCCTCAATTTATTTCAGTTCCCCGCGCGGCGAGGCGGCGGCGGCCTACCTCAGCAAGCTGGAGCTCGTCAGCCGCTGCCTCAACCGCGCCGTGGACGCCTCGCGCGACGCGCCGTGACGTCACGCGCACGTCACGTGACCGCGGCATGGCATGACTACTGGTAACGAGTCTGGTTCCGGAATTCGTTGCTAACAGTTCATCGCTTTTTCTTTTAGTTAAAGAAAATAAAGGCGAAACTCATGAATATTTGAAACAGGATTTCAATAATCACGTAAGGTAACCTTTAGAGAGACTCACTTTTAATTATGTGTTTCCATTATCCAGAGAGAGAACTACGTTTACTAACAGAGTAGCTAGCTGTACGGAATCAGACTCGATGAATCTCAATTTTCTGAGTTTCATAGATTATTTCCTTTTATCACGCGAGACTACTCGTTTATGATCACAAATTTTGGTATGAACTTTATTTTGAATGATTATTATATTGTAAGCTCCATGTACACAGAGCCTTTTGATATCGATGTATGATGCGCCGCGACGCGAGAATGATTCTGATTGCATTTCGTTCGATTCATGCATTTCCTGACGATTGGCCGTTAGATAGTATTAGCATAGTGCCAAAATTGAGTATATTAGTTAATTGTGTTACTTAATTTATTTATTAGTTCGAATTAAGGTTAAATTTAAGTCGGAGTACCCAATTCCATGTTTTTGTTTTTTACGGTTGTTGCCACTCCGCCTATTTGTTTTTTGTTCTTTATTTTTGAATGTCTGTGCCGGATACATGTAGTGCTGTATGTGATGTTAAGGCCCCTAGATGTAAATTTTAGTATTCTAGCCCTAATGTGTCGTCCGACCTTGCCTTATATTCAATATAAAACCGAACCCCTCGATGTAGTTAAAGTTAGATGTATTTTTGTCAATAATTTATTTTTTGTACAGAAATAATGTGAATAGAACCTTTTGAATGAGAAATTTTATAGTACCTTTGTATGTTAGATTAGTTTATTTTTCGTATCAATAGTTGAGGTCTAATTCTATGACATGATCATTGATTTCTCTTGCATTGTTAACATTTGAAATAAAATTATGCACAATACAAACGTAAAACTCTAGCCAAAATTTTGTACATGGAATGCAATCATGTAGCCTTTTTAAACTTATATTTTTTGACTAGTTAATTCTGCACATATTTTTATAGCACATTAAAGTGTTAAAATAAATTTCACTCAACTATTGACACGATATTAGCATTATGTCCACTGGGCGCGACCGCCCGCACCGTTGCCATTTCATAGCTAGAGATAGCTCAAGGGTGGGCCCGATGCAATATCGAATAATGATTAAAATTTGTAATTTATTCGATCGCAATATGAAATAAATATTAGCCGTTTTTATTCTTCCAAACTTAACGACAAATATTGACTCTGTGGTTTCCGTTTAGGTATAGTTAGGGTTTCGTGGTCCAAGGATCATATTTGCTCACAAAAGTGGTATTATTTATTGTATTACTATTTGAAAGGCTCACCCCCATTCGTGTACAGTATTTAAGCAGTCGGACGCGAGAGTACAAGTTAGCGTAAGTTAGTTAAGGGACCGCGATACGACTAGTTTCGATCGAAAACTCGAACATTCTACGGCGTCTGCGCAGCTGGTCACGTGAACTGTACCAAATATGTCACCCCACCGAAGCTGGTCTTCACAAATGAACGAATTAACATTATTTATTTGAAAACGTGGAAAATTACGCAAATCTCCACTGTTTTTCACTAGGTGATATGAGCTCGTCTCTTACACCCTTTATTTAATTTAATAGAAACTTAAACACTTATTATTATAAAGACATGATCAGCTGTGCAGATGGCTTATTTGCTTGGAAAGCCGTTGACGTTATCCACGAACATTTTGACATAAATTATATTACATGTGATAATTAATTTCAACTTAGAACGTATTTTTTACTAAGTGACTGAATAGTGACACCGAATACAAATACTCGGTTTAGATGCATCGATCTAGAAATATTCATATATTCGAATTGTGAAATTCGAGTTTTCTGTTAACTTTTTAGTAGAATGTACTGAACCGAATGTTTGTATTCGTCATTGAATCTATGACTGATCACACAGACTTGCAAATAAATATAAAACCTAAAACTTGAGCTTTAACGGGGTTCGTGGATAAAGGCGGCGGCCGCAACGATAGACAATATGTGTAAGCCAAAGCAAACGAAAGTATTATGAATGCTGTGGTACGAACGATTCCATTACTCAACTCGTTGGCACAAACACAATTTAACACTTGGTACAGTATAAATAGGTATAGTAGGTCACATACAAATTAAATGTATCTCATCACATTTTTATATGTTGAAAATGGTGACATATTGCATATTTTTGCCTTATTTAGATATAAGAGTTATGATAGTCTCACACAAAAATGAAAAGTTGTATTGTATTTTTGTACATTTACACGAAAAGACCTACTGTACCTTTTTGACTGTGCCCTTAGTAACGAATTACAATCTACACTCAACGTGACCAAAGATTTGAATTATTTTAGTAAGTGCTAGATTTATGTTGACTTCTAAATTTAGAGTTTTAATATTAAGAAAATGAACACAAATTAGGACGTTCTCAAACATTTATTGCTGTATTTTCACAGAAATTTGACATCATCACTATCCACCATTCTCTCTAGTCACAAATTAAGTATCACACTCGTGCCATAAACAAACGCTCTCTATGTTAAAATAATAGTACGAACACGTTCTAAAGTTGAATAAATAAATACAATATTTTCTAAACTACGTCGTTTTATTTGGTCACTGCTTCAGGTCGCAGCGACACGATTCCGTCTTGCACGGGACCACGTTTATGGGGGGCAATTGGATATCATGCTGTGGGAAATATGTCCAAGTGAGTCTGATTATTGCCGGCACTACTTTCTAAGGGGAACGGATAAGCCAAATACTGAATTGAGGCAACTATTTAAAGCTAGATTTCCCATTACCATCTTCTCAAAAGAATTGGTTTAACGTATAAAGAAGGCAAAACGTACTACATTCCTAATCAAATCTAGCAATATGAAGCAAATGGAAGCAATGTTGCTAAAAAAAATAAAGCGTTTCCAGCGTATGTCCGCGTTACAGGATTCTAAAAAGCATCAAAGACGACCGTAATTGTAAAGCCTTGTTATAATTCGCATCATGTTTCTTGAGCATGATCCCTGTTGCATAAGAATTGCCTCATACAAGAACTATCGCATAGGAGGACTATCGCATTTGCACTTGTCAAGATGGCGCCACTGTAGAGTAAGGTCCTGTCAATCGCCAGGGGTGCCAACTGTTAAGTATTAAAACGATAGCCCTCATTGTACTGCAATGTGCCTCACCTGAGCTGGGCGGCGCTGCAGGCCGTTGGCGCGGCCGGCGCGCTTGTAGTCCTCCGACGCGGGTTTGGAGGCTGGTGCGGCCGACGCAGGCGCCACGGGCTGCAAGTGGACATCATAATTATTTATTGTACTTATGGGTTACAAGGCCTAACTTCGAACAAATCATATCGGTAGCAAATTTTCATGTTAGCTGTGGTCAAAGGAGACAAACCTATTTTCACTGGCCGAACCGGATGTTTTGTCTGTGATCCGCACCAATAAATTTTTGTTAGTCGGCCTCTAAATACAATGTAAATTATTGTTATTTATTAGCGAGGGCTATAACCAGAAGTTGCTACTGTGGTCACATACAAGATGTAGAATCTGCAGATGTGAAGTTTATGTTCCGCCATAAACTTAAAAATGGCGTCGAAAATATACAAATAACTCACTTGCTGTAGCCCGTCCCTCTTGCCCGACGCCTGCTCCTTGTCGGTCGCCGCAGTCCCCTCAGTTTCCTCTTCATCGGACGTGTCAGGCCCTCAATCAGGCGGAAGTTTACTTACTACTACCCTTGAGCTTAAAAATGAATCAGACAAAAGACACTCACTGGTTGCAGTCCATCCCTCCTTCCCGGCGCTGGCTCCTTGTCAGTCCCTGCAGTTCCTTCGTTCTCCTCCTCCTGAAGTATTATGCTACTCACCTACTGTAGGCCATCCCTCCTGACAATGCTGGCTCCTTATAGGTCGCGTCAGTCGCTTCTTCATCGGGCAGCAGCGTTTCACACTTAGATACTTATGTAGTTTATTTGCCAAATGAGACTCACTTGTTGTAGTCCATCCCTCCTGCCCGGCGCTGGCTCCTTGTCAGTCCCTGCCGTCCCCTCGGTCTCGTCCTCATCGGGCGCGTCAGGCCCGCGGTCGGGCGGCGGCGGCGCGGGCGCTTGATAGTTGATACCCGGCGACGGGGCGATAGGTAGCGCTTGAAATGTTCGTGCGACTCACCTACTGTAGGCCGATGCTGGCTCCTTACAGGTCGCGGCAGTCTCATCTTCATCGGGCGCCTCGGGCTCACAGTCGGGCAGCAGCGTTTCATACTTAGGTACTCTGCCGCACAATTTATAAACGCAGTAAGTAACACGTGAACAGTTTCGAGAAAAACGCGATCAAAGTTGAAATTTTATTTTGGGGTGTCTACAATTAGTTACGCAAATATTTGTAAAAAAATTATAAGGGCTTATAGAGCTAAACTCAAAGTTTATTTTGATATGAGGTTTTTGTATTTTAATTAATATTTTGTATTTAAATTATTAAAAAACTGTTTATGTTATGGATTAACTAAGATTTCGTTCGATACTTACTACCCATGAATGCAGTATGATTGTTCCTTACTGCGTTTATCAGTAGTTTTCGTTACTTACGGTACATGTGTTAAATGATTGATTTAAATTTTAGTTCTTACAACGTAATATATGCGCCGTATCTTTACAACTTACTGCATTTATGAGTGGGAGTGTGAATCAAAATAATTTATCAAAACTTTAAATGCGCAGTAATAATACAATTATACTGCGCTTATCATAAGCCAATAACGCTTTCATGTTGAACTTTCCCAAATGACCAAGGGGTAAATGAAACAAGTATTACAAAATAATTGCTGAGATCGCTTGTTATTCAATCAAAAATTAAGATATGGCACCCACTTTTAGATCTTAAATATACCAATCTAATAAAATAAAGACTCGGTCGTTCGTTTCAGCCGAAAGACGTCCACTGCTGGACAACGGCCTCCCCCAAGGATTTCCACAAAGACCGGTCCTGTNGACAGGTTTTCAACTTCTTCCAATAACGTAAGAGTCAGCCACTGCGTTCATAACATGTTAACACCTAGGCAGCACTCTGACAATCCTTAGTATGTACGCAGTATAATTGTAATTACTGCATTAATATTAAGTACAAGTCATCTGTTTTTCCTATGGAAACATAATATCAGTGTGTGTTTAAGTGGAATTACTGCACATATACTATGTACAAGGTGAACTTAACAATTGTAGAAACATAATAAGAATGATGTAATTGGCACATACTGCACTATTACTGTGTAGCAAATTAAGTAAGCGCGAGTATTCACGTAATATTAAGTTATTATGTGCTCTTACTGCTAACATAGTATGTGAAGAAACCTACAATCTGCTCTTTACTGCGTTTATGATAATATGTATCTTCCGTTCTAAGATAGATAGAAAAAAACGGGTCTTTGATTCTTATAGATCGCGATGTCAGGATTCAGAATATTCAAAACAATCATAAATGCAGTAAGTGGTACTTACTGCGTTTATAAATTGTGCGGCAGTACTTACGAGTACCTATGTAGTTTATTTACTGCCCTTGAGCCTTAAACAGAATTCAGAAAATTCGAATCAGACAAAAGACACTCACTTGCTGCAGCCCGTCCCTCCTGCCCGGCGCTGGCTCCTTATCAGCCACGTCAGTCCCTGCCGTCCCCTCAGTCTCTTCCTCATCGGGCGCGTCAGGCCCTCGATCAGGTGGCGGCGGCGCGGGCGCTTGATACCCGGCGTCAGGCCGCGAGCCGTCCCACGGCGCGTACCGCATGAAGTGCTCTTGCATGGATGAGGGTAGGTCCGGCATCGGGTATAGCCGGTATAGCTTGCAGTAGCGCTGTTGAAGGAGAACATTATGTTAGATTTGAAAACACTGCAGCAGCCTGAAAAGGTTTCTAACATGGTATGGTCTGGTTCAAGCGCGGATTCAATCTTCAATAAAAAAATATTTTTTCTTCGCAAAATCGTCTTATTTTGGATATTATGCTATCAAAACAGACGGTGAAAATGTGATGTCAGAAGTTTTTTTTATATTAAGGCCTGTTGTAGTTGTACATCGTGCTCACTATAATCATGGATCCAATCCGGTTGGTTGGAGTAGAAAAAATATATGCGACACAAAAAAAGGCCCAATTGAGAGCTTAGCTAACGAAACATTGTGTTTCACATCTTGTCATAATAATAATAATTATGTGTAATGTGTTTAAATGTCTCACATCGACGGCCCTGTGCAGCGCCAAGGGCGGTCGGTCGTGCGCTTCTGCTTCCTCCACCAGCGCGGCCGCGTGCGTCAGCAGCTTGTTGTCAGCGTCTCGCAGCTTCTTCTCGGCTAACTCGCCGTAGAAGCAGCGGGTCTCTTCCTGTCACGCTCTTTCTTTAATGCTACAGTAATGACTCACATCGACGGCCCTGTGCAACGCCAAGGGCGGACGGTCGTGCGCTTCTGCTTCCTCTACCAGCGCCGCAGCGTGCGTCAGCAACTTGTTATTGTCAGCGTCTCGCAGCTTCTCGGCCAGCTCGCCGTAGAAGCAGCGGGTCTCTTCTTGTCGCGCTCTTTCTTAAGTAATGCTACAGTAATGACTCACGTCCACGAGCGCGGCCGCGTGCGTCAGCAGTTTGTTGTCAGCGTCTCGTAGCTTCTTCTCAGCTAGTTCACCGTAGAAGCAGCGGGTCTTCTTGTTACGCTCTTTCTTAAGTAATGCTACAGTAATGACTCACGTCGACGGCCCTGTGCAACGCCAAGGGCGGGCGGTCGTGCGCTTCTGCTTCCTCCACCAGCGCCGCAGCATGCGTCAGCAGCTTGTTGTCGGCATCTCGCAGCTTCTTCTCAGCTAGTTCGCCGTAGAAGCAGCGGGTCTCTTCTTGTCGCGTTCTTTCTTAAGTAATGCTACAATAATGACTCACGTCCACGAGCGCGGCCGCGTGTGTCAGCGGCTTGTTGTCGGCGTCTCGCAGCTTCTCGGCTAACTCGCCGTAGAAGCAGCGGGTCTCTGCTTGTCACGCTCTTTCTTTAATGCTACAGTAATGACTCACATCGACGGCCCTGTGCAGCGCCAAGGGCGGGCGGTCGTGCGCTTCTGCTTCCTCCACGAGCGCCGCAGCATGCGTCAGCAGCTTATTGTCGGCATCTCGCAGCTTCTTCTCGGCTAGTTCGCCGTAGAAGTAGCGCGTCTCCGCTCGCTCGCGCGCTTCGCGGTCGTCGCGCTCTTTCTGCGGGAAGAAAAAGCAGCAATTGCAGAAAAATGCATTTATAAAAATGATTAAAATAGAATTTAAGTACAGGTATAGCACATTTTTGAGTGATACTGAGTCAGTGCCTGTCCCCGAGGCATCGGAGCGGCACAGGAAGGGTGACAAAATGACTTGACGGAGCATACGTCATTCATAGTCTAAAGCAAGTCTCGCTGACGTTTTAAGTCACAAAACACCCTCCCGTGTTGCTCTCATCTCAAACACTGATTCAATTAAAATACGATAGACCTGTAATTCTTAAACAAAGAATAATAATTTCAAAACAAGACTTTTTTCAAAGAGAAACTGCTATATTATATCAAAATCAAAACAATCATATAGGTTTTCTCAGTAATAGAACTGGTTTATTTTACAAACCCAGAGCCGCAATATGTCCGCCCTATACTCTTGAATCTTGCGTTCCTTCTCTTTGCGTAGGTTTTCCTGGAAGTCATCGTACAACTCCGCATTCTTGAATCTACAATGAACAAAGCAATAGATGATGAAGTGTGGCAAAATATACGTTCAAATTCCCAGGTCTTAATTCAATTCCGTGGTGCTGTACTACATAATTTCAATCATGGACCACAGTTCACTTACAAACATACACGAAGTAAATCAGTAGCCTCTTGTAAAGTGAAAACAAAACACAGCATAAAAGGAAAAACGTGCACCATGTTGGGCGCCACTATGTCATATTAGTGGCGCCCAACATGGTGCAAGCCGACTGGCCATTATGACAGTGTTGAAGTGTGTGCTGCTACTAATAAAAGAATCATAATTCCCTCAAATTCAATTCAATTTCTGGAGAACTCCGTAACCGCTAAAATTCTTCCTCAGATCCAGCCAATAAGGTGGCTTTAACCTTTTTCTCTTCTTTATCTTTTAACTATCTCTGATGACCTATAACTACAATGAAGCACCTATGCATGGTAGGTATGCGCTGACCTGTTCATGATCTCCCACTGGCGCACGGTGTTGAAGTCCTTGAGGCGCTGCGCCTCGTCGCGCAGGAAGCGCTGGCGCTGCGCCACGCGCTCGTCACGGAACGCTTGCTGTTTGCGCTCGTCAGCTACGCGACGCGCTTCCGCACTAAGTACAACATAAATCACATGTCAATGCAAGCAAGTGATAGTCCAGATCCTCATGAGGGATGACGGGACAGGGAAGGGAGCCCTGTCTAAAAATAATCTGGCTTGACCTCTTTGGTGATCATCAGACTTAGTTGCTTACGTAGTTTCGGGCCAATCTGTCACTATCGCTCAACATGAGCAACATGCAACACTCGGAACTTCGGATTACGTGTTCCGGAGTACCTAGTTCCGCAAATTGGCAAGCCGATTAAAATGTCCATGAAGCCCCTGTCAGTTCCTCAATGGGCACTCTCGGCACATGCCTAGTGACCTAATGTTGGTCTCGAAGTGCTGGTAGGGTAAAAAGATTATGAGACATGTAGCCTCTACAAGCCTTAAGAGCAAAATGACGATTTGTAAGAACTATTTATTAGTCTAAACAAATAAAGAAATTTTGACTTTGACTTTATAACTACCTACGCAATCGCTGAAAAGGAATTTTTAAGGGACCCCTTGATCCTTAGATGTTCAAGGCTACTCAGGAAGTTAAAGACGGTCCTGGTGATAAGGACCTCCCTCACCTATATTGACATCATCGTCGATGGAAATCTTTAAACTATTCACATCCGACCGCATCTTGAACACTTTGAATTCTTTCAGGATTATCTACTTTTTCTACAGTGTAAGTAATTGAGTGGCTTACATGGCCTCCTTCTCCTTGATGGCCTTGTTGAGGATGGCCAGGTCCTTGGCTTCGCGCGCCGCGTCGCCCGACTCCAGCTTCTGGCTTATCTTCTCGAGAACACGCAACTTCTCTTCTTTTACCTGGGGGAGACAGCGCAAAAACGTCAGTTTTATATTGTAAAACACTTCCTTGCTTCCTCTTCTGTTCGACTCAGACTTGTGACTCCTGAGTCGGATGTATTGTCACATCGTTGAAGCGGTACTTCATGTGTTTACTTCCTATTATAGTTACTATCCTAAAGGATTAGGATTAGGATGGAACAGGTAAGCTGGGAAGCTTACCTGTTTAAGCCGTTCGTTTTTAAAGTCTTCGTTAGTCTTGCTGGCTGCACTATACTTCGTTCTTCTTAGTCAGCTTCCTCTTCTACTGCTCGACCCTAGCTCGAGAACGTCAGCATCTTGTTGATAACAAAATCCGGTCCAACTTGCGGCGCTCATTTGCTTCTTCATAAGTACTTATACTTATTTTCCCCTTTCCATCTTCGCCATCTATTGCTGTTTCGTAGGTACTCTCTGTTCGTCTCGCTGGCTGCACAATATAATAGGTACTCACGTCCTTCTCGGTCTGCTTCCGCTTCTGCTCGACCCTGGCCCGGGAGCGTAGTAAGACGTCAATGAGGCGGTCGTCCATGTTGTCCCTGGCTGCTTACTCTCCTACCGACACCGCTGCATGTCCGACCAGATGCGGTTCCTCTCCAAGACTTCCATCGTCTCACTGTCTATGTATAGTCACGTCGTTCTCAGTCTGCTTTCGCTTCTGCTCGATCCTGGTTCTTGTACCGCGCGCGTAGCACATCCGACCAGATGCGGTTCCTCTCCAAGTCTTCCTTGGTCTCTGTCTATTTATTTATTTTTTATTTATTTAAACTTCAGCACACATAGAGACAATGCACTGTGGCGGACTTAATGCCGGATGGCAGTCTCTGCCAGTCTATGTATAGGTACTCACGTCCTTCTCAGTCTGCTTCCGCTTCTGCTCGACTCTGGCCCGGGAACGTAGTAAGACGTCGATGAGGCGGTCGTCCATGTTGTCCCGGGCGGCCTGCTCCCGGCGGCGCTGCTCGTTCTCCTGGCGAGACCGCTGCATGTCCGACCAGATGCGGTTCTTTTCTGCGGCTTTCTGTAGCGGAGGCATAAAAAATTACATTTTCATCTACTTATGTAGTTGTAATAATGTTGTTGTTGAGTGATCATTCCATCTGTCAAATCACTTTGGTCACGCATTGTTTCATCTAATGAAACATGATGAAAATAATTAAGTACCTACTTACATTCTTGAAATATTTTTTATGTATGAAATTATCAAAATCCCTACCAATATTAATTTTATAATGCGAAATTAACTCTATCTATCTGTGTCTTTCACACCTAAACCACTGAATAAATTTTGATCAAATTTGGCATAAAGATAGTTTGAGTCCCGGGAAAGGACATAGGATAGTTTTAATTCCGGTTTTCTAAACAGGGACACGCGCGATAAGGTTTTTCTGTGACAAACAAAATTTCACACGGGTGAAGCCGCGGCCGGAAAACTAGCTTATGTAGGTACTAGTGTTGATTATTGCACATCTTCCAACTAGAAACTAGATTAAGTAAAGGTTCCTTACAAAGTCCTCCTCGAACTTCTTGATGGCGGCCATCTCCTCGTTGGCCTTGATGTTGTCGAGCTTCTGCAGATTCAACTCCGTTTCGTACTCGCTTCGATTGCGTTCGGCGACCTCGCGTGCTCTGCAAAATTGTACAATGTCCTTCTAAATAATGAAACGGGCAAAACAAAGAAAGTGGATTAGAATTGCTGCACGAGTGTTCTCAAATGTCAATATTAGGATTAGGTGTCATGACTTTCAATAAAACCAAACAAGAATGATAAAAAATCAATAACTTTCATGTAAAATAATATTTAAAAAATTGCTGCTATTTTTAAGAGCAAAAAGTTAAGTGGAGGAGCTGGGATTTGAACCCAGGACTTTCAGCATGCGAAGCAGACACTCTACCACTGAGTTACACCCCCGATGCAACGTCACGACAAAAATAACGATATTTACTTAGTTCAATATACCTACACACCAAAACTAAAATTAACTAGGTATCAATTTACTCAGCTAGAAAAGTTCCTAGCGGAAAGCTGAAGTCGGCTTTGTCTTTTGAACTAGTCCCTACAAAGAAGAGTAAATTCACTGGTCAGAGAATACTTCTGGTAGGTAGCGCTGAGCGCCGTAAGCGCGTAACATTCTATGGACACGTTACCTACGTTATATGATGTCGTCGTCGTCGCGCCGCTTCTGCTCCGCTTCCTACCGCCGCTGCTCCGCTAACAATAAGGATATGTAATATCAAAGCACTCACTGGTCGGATATCTCCTTCTGGTAGCGCTTGTTGGCGTCGAAGCGGCGCTGTCGCTTGAGCGCCATGAGCGCGTGCCAGTCCTTGGCGCGCTGGATGATGTCGTCGTCGTCGCGCCGCTTCTGCTCCGCTTCCTACCGCTACTGCTCCGCTAAGAAGAAGGATGTAATATGAAAGCACTCACTGGTCAGAGATCTCCTTCTGGTAACGCTTGTTGGCGTCGAAACGAAGCTGTAGCTTGAGCGCCATGAGCGCGTGCCAGTCTTTAGCTCGCTGGATGATGTCGTCGTCGCGCCGCTTCTGCTCCGCTAAGAACTTCGGCTTTGTTTTTAGAGTCTCTAAGAAGAAGGGTATAGTTAATGTCAAAGCACTCACTGGTCGGAGATCTCCTTCTGGTAGCGCTTGTTGGCGTCGAAGCGGCGCTTTCGCTTGAGCGCCATGAGCGCGTGCCAGTCCTTGGCGCGCTGGATGATGTCGTCGTCGTCGCGCCGCTTCTGCTCCGCTTCCTGCCGCTACTGCTCCGCTAAGACGAAGGGTCTAATATCAAAGCACTCACTGGTCAGAGATCTCCTTCTGGTAGCGCTTGTTGGCGTCGAAGCGGCGCTGTCGCTTGAGTGCCATGAGCGCGTGCCAGTCCTTGGCGCGCTGGATGATGTCGTCGCGCCGCTTCTAGCTGCTTGAATCTAAATAACAACCTCTTAGAAGAAGTATTATAATTCAAAGCACTCACTGGTCGGATATCTCCTTCTGGTAACGCTTGTTGGCGTCGAAACGACGCTTGCGCTTTGAGCGCCATGAGCGCGTTCCAGTCTTTAGCTCGCTGGATGATGTCGTCGTCGTCGCGCCGCTTCTGTTTCGCTAAGAACTTCGGCTTTGTTTTTAGAGTATCTAAGAAGAAGGGTATAGTTAATGTCAAAGCACTCACTGGTCGGATATCTCCTTCTGGTAGCGCTTGTTGGCGTCGAAGCGGCGCTGTCGTTTGAGCGCCATGAGCGCGTGCCAGTCTTTAGCTCGCTGGATGATGTCGTCGTCGTCGCGCCGCTTCTGTTCTGCTTCAAGTCGTCGCTGCTCCTCCAAGAACTTCAGCTGCTCGGAACGTTCCTTTTGGATCACTGTCTCGATCACCGCACTACAAGAAAAAGTAAGTAGGTACCTATTTGAAATAGTTGGAGCCTCCAACTTGGAGAGAATGCAGTTTGGGAGGGGGAGATGAGGGATGGAGTCACACGGCAGGGAATGAGTTCAGAAATGAGGAGATGCGAAGGAAAACTAAAGTAACCGACATGGCCCACAGAATTTCTAAAATCAAGTGACAGTGGGCGGGGCACGTAGACGATGCCGCTGGGGCAGAAAAGTTCTCGAGTGGCGACCACGGGCCGTAAGACATAGTATGGGTAGGCCACCCACTAGGTGGACCGACGATCTGGTGAAGGTCGCGGGAAGAGCCTGGATGCGGGCAGCGCATGTTCGGTCGTTATGGAAATCTTTGGGGGAGGCCTTTGTCCAGCAGTGGACGTCATTGAGCTGAAACGCACCTGAGAAGCAGCTTGGGCGCGTCCTTATTCTTGAAGACTGTGTCCCTTGCGCTGAACATGAGCCGCTCCTGCTCCTCCTGCTTGCGCTTGATGTAGCGCTTGTAAAACTTGCTGTTGGCCTGCTCGGCCGCTTCGAGACGCGCCCGTCTCAACTCCTCGTTGCGTTTGTTCACGTTCTGTGGAGACCACGACGTATTGGATTGCGCATTGTACATATGACTGACAGCACTTCATGGTGCATCTATGAGATGATAGACGCGCGATGCAAATACCTAGAGTTGACTGATTTTTTTGCAGGAGTTCACGTTTTTTTTTGCAGTTATGTACCATGACGTAATCGTATTGCAAGTAGACCAGGTAAGTAGGTACATATTGCACAGAAGACTGCACTTCAGACTATAGCTAATTTTGTTGAAAATGCACCCCAATTTTGCTTGCTTTTTGACGTGTCGTCTGCACTTTGTAGTTGCAAAATGCAAACAAGGGCTTTTCAATTAAGTTCATTAGTTTATTTGATTTCTAGCTAGTAACAAGGCTAAGTACTTTGGTAAGAATATTTATGAACACGTCATGTGCTTGCATTGCAAAAAGCGGTCAAGGACTTAAGTAGAAGCTAAGCGTTTTTTAACTAATGTTTTCTGTTCCCGTTTAACTGATAGATATTATACCAAAGTCAAAGTCAAAAGTCAAAGTCAAAATTTCTTTATTTGTTTGGACTAATAAATAGTTCTTACATTTGTAATTCGATTCGATTTCGTCATTTTGCTCTTAAGGAGCCTCTACATGTCTCATAATTTTTTTACCCTACCAGCGCTTCGAGACCAACATTTGGCAAGTGCTGAGAAGAAGCGCCGCAACAAACTCAGTCACCACTGTCTGCCGGTTAATATAAATAAATAGAAATAGTAGTAGTAGGTACATTCGATTCAGGAGCAGTTCACTGAATTTACCATGCATTCTTGTATGGTGTACTTATCTTATAAGAATGGGTATACAAGATTGCGTGGTATATCGCACCTACCTACTTACTTAAAATTTTTAAAACGATAGTCGTAATTTAAATCAATACTAGAAAAATCACGTATCTAATGTAACTTATCTCGTAATGAGGCAAACTTCGATACAACTAAATGATAAAGTAAGGTTAAAGTAAGCTACCTACATAACCTACTTAGAAAAAAAAAAACAATAAATGAAAGTACATATTCCATTGTAGCCCAAACTGGAATAACCTGCATTGACGCTTATTTCGACGCATTAATACACCCAAAAAAGATCTTAATGTACTTGCATGTACCTACCTACCTAAATTAAATGCGAACCGGCCACCCGTCTACGACGCGGCGATACGCCATGAGTGAAATTGCTTCCAATTATGAGTTTGTTCGCAAGTTTAACTAATTTATAAGCAAGAAGAGAGAAAAAAAGACTCCGTACCTCCAAGGAGTTGGGCCAGTGCTTGGTCATGGCCTGGCTGGTGGCGTCCAGGTACCGCACGTATTCCCGCCGCCGCGCCACGTCCGGGTCCTCCTTGTTTTCGTCCGTCCAGCGCTCGATGCGACGGAACTCGTCCTTGGAAAGGACCAACGGCATGGCTGCTTTTTCTAGAAAACAGCACCACACCAAAGTTGTAACCCTAAGGTTGTAACAAATTCAACTTAGCGGGTAGATATAAAAAGTTTGCCAACTCACTCACTTACCTTACTTATTTGTGTTGCGATCAAAATTGTACAATAACTAGGAAAATTAATTTAAAATTCATTTCAATTAAATATAAATTAATTTTTATAATTGACATTCAATCAGAAGATTTTTTTTCTGTTCCTGATAGAGGATTTAGATTAACGAAAAGAGGTTCATAACCAAAGATTAAAAAAATGAAAAATAAAAATAACACAACATTTTTACAACAAAACAAAGAAATTAACAACGGGATTTTATTGATTTCACGTTGTTATGGTGATGGTGTACGTTTAGAACAATTTTAAACTTTTATTACTTACTTGTTGCAAGAAAGAACTCACGGCTACTTTACTTTAGCACAAAATTAATTTTATTTTGAATGTATAAGAATGAAATACACTTTTCATAAGTGTAAATCTTAGTGTATAAATGAACAAAAATATAAAAACTTTTAATTTGTATTCAAATCATCGCGCCAAAAACATTTTGATTGTTGAACGGATTTCGTTTCTGAACGAAACGTCAGCTGTCAAATCGGAAATATTTACGTCAGCCACGTTGGAAGTGCCAACTCGGTGTTTTTATGGTAAATAATAATTTTTACTATTAAATCCCTCGAAATTAGTGATTAAAAATTAATTTTACATCTTTACTTACCGCTCCGAACAGTTGATGTGCAGCTTAAAGTCGTAGTTTCCGTGTGGGACGCGTTCCAAAAGTGTGACATAATTCCGTAAACAGTTGCGGTTTGTTTTAGTTGGTATAGTGGATTATCAATCACGATGAAGCTGAAGGAGTTGAAGAAGACCGTGAATATGAGCTGGTCGCCGGCGGGGATGCAGCAGGTTCTGCTGGCGGCTGGCTCGGCGGCGCAGCAGGTGGACTCTTCCTTCAGCTCGTCCTCGCAGTTGGAGCTGTACGCTTTGAACTTGGACGACCCCGGGATGGATCTGGAGCTGAAGTCGAGCGTTACAACACAGCACAAGTAGGCCTTTGAACTTTTGATTTGATTTTCCAATAGGAAAGTGATGATATGGAAAGATACACTGATATCAATAAAACATCCTGTTTTAAAATGCAAATTATGTAAACATAACAGAAACATTAGAGCTATGCTCTCAGCTACTACAATTATATTGTGTTGAAGTTATTCTTAAATTAATTTTTTCCATCTGAACTTGGTAATTAATAACCAATAAAAATTTATAGCATGTAAAAATTCTAACTAACTATGGTTCAATTACAACTTTTCCAATTGGTTTCTTGTGTAATCTTGTACTCAAAGATTTCTTTTTCCAATAGGTTTCAGAAGCTAGTGTGGTCTGACTCTGGCATATTAGTCGGTGGCTGTGACGGCGGCCTACTGGAGTTCTACAACGCTGACAAACTGCTCAGCAACACCAGTGATGCACTGATTGGGAGCAGCACCAAACATAGTGGTAATAATATCTTTTTACTTCTGTTTTATTTATTCCCACAGTATAATAGTAATTATTATTACTAAGAATCTACGTTACCATAAAACTCTTTTTACCCGACTGCGCCAGAAGGAGGGTTATGTTGTTTAATTGATATGAACAACATATTATGAATTTGTAGATGACCAAAATTATTTATATTTTACCAAGGAAGTCTTTGTATTATTGTGCTGTTTATCATGAGATGAATGAGGAGCATATTGTTATCAATTTGACCTGATTTTCAACAGAGTACAATGAACTATCTTTGATACAGTACTTTTTTCAAGACAATTACAATCTTCTTTTTAAGATAGCATTTTGGTATGATTAGGTCTTTTAGGTACATGACCGACAGTGATAGTGGTAGTTGGTTGATGTAACATTCATAACAACATACAAAAAGCATTATGAAATATTATTTTACTGTGTAGATATTTGATCCAATATCATTTACTACTGTAGTAGGCTGTTTATCAGTTTGTCAGTTGTGAATTATTGTACCCATTCATTGTAATCAATTTGCTACCAATTGAAATATGATCTTGTACGTTACATTACTCATAAGCAATTTTCTTTGGGTTACTAATTACTGTTTAAGATTCAAATTCTTCAAGTATACAAGAAGGCTTATGCAAGAATAGTCCAAATAGTGCAGTAGTTGACAGGAATCAATGTTGCAAATAGGGATGTTTCCTGGCTAAAAAAGCAAGAGTTTGAATTAGTCCATCAGTTAGCTTATCAAAAAACACTCGACACATATTTTTCACTTTTTTGAACTAATGAATATTGAGAGATAAAGCGCTCCAAAGTTAAAAAAAAATTGACAGACTAAAAGTTATTAGACCACCCACAAGGTGGACCGACAACATCATAAAGTTAGCAGGAAAGCGCTGGACGCAGGCCGCTACCAACCGGGTAACATGGAAAGCATTGGGGGAGGCCTATCTTCAGCAGTGGACGTCCTATGGCTGAGATGATGATGATGATGATGATGATGAAAAGTTTTTTTAGGAAACTAGTCTGTTGAGAATCCTCAAACTGATGGTTACACCGTTGAGATATTGTTGCCGTAAATGAACATCAACAAGTTATGTTACAATAATATTACGTTTCACTAGGCCAAGTGTCAGCGCTGGACATCAACCCGTACCAGAAGAACCTGCTAGCCTCTGGTGCGTCTGAGAGCGAGATCTTCATCTGGGACCTCAACAACACCAGCCAACCCATGGCGCCCGGCAACCGTAGCCAGCCGCCCGACCACGTGCAGGGCCTGGCGTGGAACCAGCAAGTGTGTATTTATGTGATATCAAGGCAAATTAGTTTATAGCTTTATAGCTTACGCGTAGATCCCGCTTTATCCCTCTTGGGGGTTGAATTTTGCAAAATCCCATCTACAGCACCTACATTCTTAAAGGAACCCCCATGTAAAATTCGAGACTCCTAGCACTTGTAGTTTCTGAGATTTCGTGATGTGTGAATGAGTCAGTTAGTCAGTCAGTCAGTGACCTTTCGCTTTTATAGATATATGTAGATAGATTTTACCAGGAAATTCAATAAATTCAATTTATATTAATTAATTGTTATGATTTGTTGCAGGTTCAACACATTTTAGGATCCACATTTGCCACAAGATGTGTAGTCTGGGATCTGAGAAAGAATGAACCTATTATGAAACTGAGGTAAGCTGTTTCTCATTGATCTAAAGCCTGGTCCGTGAGCACGTAGAATCCCATCCAATGACCCCAAGCTACCCATCCCTATCGCTCGCGCGTAATTATGTTGCTGTCGCGCTTGCACACTCATTGCGGGTTCCCGTCGCACAGTCGCGACAGCAACATAATTACGCGCGAGCGATAGGGATGGGTAGCTTGGGGTCATTGGACGGGATTCTACGTGCTCACGGACCAGGCTTTAGCTCTGTACACTCCTTCAGCCCTAGTTGATCAACCCTTATGTTTGTAAATTCTGATTGGTGAGTTCCGTGTGATTGTATTTTTGTGCAAATATATTGACGAGCATAGACACGCTTTGAAAATTCGTATACCTATGGCTCGAATGAGTTTGGAACCGCCGTTCGGTTTTGAAATCTAGTATCCCTGAAAATGTTAATCCAAAAGAGTCCTAAATCTAGTTACAATAGAGCACAATTTAGTAATTGATCGTGTACTTGCAGCGATGCCACATCTCGCACGCGTTGGCGCTCGCTGGCGTGGCACCCGGGCGTGGCCACGCAGCTGTGCGTCGCCTCCGAGGACGACCAGGCGCCCGTGCTGCAGCTGTGGGACCTGCGGTGAGTGACGTCATCCTGGCAGGTCACAGCAGCGACCCACGAGCACGCCTGGCGCTCGCTGGCGTGGCACCCGGGCGTGGCCACGCAGCTGTGCGTCGCCTCCGAGGACGACCAGGCGCCCGTGCTGCAGCTGTGGGACCTGCGGTGAGTGACGTCATCCTGGCAGGTCACAGCAGCGACCCACGAGCACGCCTGGCGCTCGCTGGCGTGGCACCCGGGCGTGGCCACGCAGCTGTGCGTCGCCTCCGAGGACGACCAGGCGCCCGTGCTGCAGCTGTGGGACCTGCGGTGAGTGACGTCATCCTGGCAGGTCACAGCAGCGACGCCACGAGCACTGAGGGCGTGGCACCTTGGCGGGCTAAATAAGCTTGTGTTACGAGTGGGCTCACCACAATAGTCGAGCGAAGCGACGGTGGGATTCGAACCCGCGTTCCTCGGATCTCGAGTCGGCCAGTCCCATTCACCGTTCGGCTATCATGGCTATGGTCTGTAGTAATATGACCTGCTGAGGATGACATCGACTGCAAGAGAGTTTCAAACCTCTTTAATACCTCCTCACGTTGGTGAGACGGTTTGGGGAGGCCTGATGTTCGCATATTTCTCCCTTAGTCGCTTCTTATGACATACATGGGAAGAGTTATAAGAGTACCACTCCAGTCCTATTGTGTTTTGCAGGAACCTCATGGCTAAACAAATTCAATACGTGCTGTATTTTATGCACTTGTAATAGGTGCGTTGATGCAATAATAGTCTAAGTCCGCCTGGCTAACTACCACCATCTTACCTAAGTCTGTCCCCATAACAACAATGTTAACAGCATCCTCTGTGGTTGAGGATTCCGGGTGAAACTCGCTTCCACCTTCGGCTTGATCATCAATTACCATCAGATGAGATACAAGCCAAGAGATTATTTGCTGTGGATAAAAAAAATACGTTCGCGTCGTCGTCTATAGTTATCACCAATCAATGAAGACACTTCCCAACTTCTCTATGTGGTCCGCAGGTTGGCGGCGTCGCCGCTTCTCACGCTGGAGGGACACCAGAAAGGTGCCCTCGCGTTGTCGTGGAGCCGCCACGACCCTGACATGTTGCTATCGGCTGGCAAGGACGGACGCATCCTGTGCTGGAACCCCAACAACACTGCGCAGCCGGTAAGACTTCAATTACACTCAATTTCCAATTCTCAATATAAACTCTGACAAACGATACTTCGACATTACGTTACTCCGACACTACTGAATATCGACATGACTTTCGACACTACACTACTGAGACATAGGCAAATCCTTTACAAATCCTCATTTGCCTCCATTTCCATATGTACCTTCGAAAATTAGGTTGACAAAAGTGACTGAGTTTCTTGCATTGTGCCATTTTTCCTTTGGACCATTTCGTAGCTGGCTATGAAATGGGAAAAAATCCATTCCGAAGCTTTGATATGGTCCAAAAGTGTCCACTTATCGTCCTGAAGCAGTGGTAGTTAAGAAACGGGACCATTCCCACGTCTTGTGCCCACTGTTGCAACTCCTGTGTATAGCTAGGTTCTACAACTAGACCGCCAATAAAAATTCAACCAGTGGAGGTGAAGTTTGTCCCTTGAGTAAAGTGAAGTTTTTCCTGTGAGTGCTCATATTAATTTTCTCTACAGACTATCGCGTTTTAGCGGAGACCCTTAGGGCTATATTTCACCGGGACACCATGGCGGCGCAACCAGTCGGCGCTACCAAAATGTATACATGTGAAATACAGTGTGAGTCACGTTAAAGTGTACATATGAAAATAGATGAAACTAGACCTATTTTTATCGACAAAAAAGAGGTCAAAAAATTTTTGAGATTTTTTTTTAATTTTTTTTCTTCCAAGTACTTATTGTAAAGAAAACGTAATAACTTTTAAACTAAGCGGTATATCCTGATGAAATAAAAACAGTAATAATGCTAAATAACAGGCGATACTAAAAAAATACATAAAATACACAAAAAATGCCAACAAATAATAAAAAATGATACTTTTTGAAAAAAATTTGCTTTTAAATTAGTTTTTTTTTGCTTATTTGATAAATTTCTCCAAAAAATGCCCCTATAAGGTGGTTTTTATTACTTTGTATTACTCTCTATCGTAAAATCTTTGTAAAACCAAAAATCGCATGTCTCTATCCCTATCACAACATTTGCTATGATCGTTTGAACAAAGGCCTGCCGCAACTTTATTCTCCGCTACAGGTAGAGAAAATATTGATTTTTACTAAAATGCTTATTTTACTTCGAAATCATTTGTTTTTATTTGAAATCTAACTTGTCTTTATGAAAATTACAAATCTAGAGCCATTTTCAGTTTCGTTGTTAACGAAGCGTTGAATGGCGCGCCCGGAGAGGCTTAGTTCAAACGATCATTGCAAACGTTGTGATAGAGATAGAGACATGCGATTTTTGGTTTTACGAAGGTAATACGATAGAAAATAATACAAAGTAATAAAAACCACCGGTTATAGGGGCATTTTTTGGAGAAATTTATAAAATAACCAAAAAAACACGAATTTAAAAGCAGATTTTTTTCAAAAAGTATCATTTTTTATTATTTGTCGGCCTTTTTTGTGTATTTTATGTATTTTTTTAGTATCGCCTGTTATTTGGCATTATTGCAGTTTTTATTTTATCAGGATATACCGCTTAGTTTAAAAGTTATTACGTTTTCTTTACAATAAGTAATTGGAAGAAAAAAAATTCTATAAAAAATTAAAAAAAAATCTCAAAAATTTTTTGACCTCTTTTTTGTCGATAAAAATAGGTCTAGTTTCATCTATTTTCAAATGTACACTTTAACGTGACTCACACTGTATAGCCCTTAGGGCCTTGCCACACTAGCGGATTGCAAGCGGAGCGGCGAAGTATGCCGCGGTCGCCAAAATGCTTTCAAAAAGCCACCGCTCCGCGTTAAAACAGCTTATAATCCGCCAGTGTGGCAAGACTTAAAGTTGTTCACCTGCTGTATTTTGTACCAATTGACGTCTTCCAGGGCGGCGAGCTGGTGATGGAAGTGGGTCAGCAGCGGCAGTGGGTGTTCGAGGCGCGCTGGTGCCCGCGCGCGCCCGGCCTGCTGGCCGCCGCGTCCTTCGACCAGCAGCTGGCCGTCCACACCGTGCTGCCCACGAGTCGGCCAGAAGTGGTGAGTTTATATAAAAGGCCAGCGGGCAATGATACACTTTTTTTTTATCCACAACGAGGAAGCTCTTGTGGCCTGTATCTCACCTGATGGTAAGTTATGACCAGGCCGAAGGTGGAAGCGAGCTTCATCCGGAATCCTCAACCACGGAGGAACTGACTATCTTACCTCTAACTGCCGGAACACATGGCGACAGACTTAGGTAAGATGGTGGTAGCTTAGCTAGGCGGACTTAGAAGAAGCCCTACCACCAACCAAACCGAACAGAAAAATCTGCCCCCACTGGGAATCAAACCCGGGACCTCTGCGTCTGAAGCAGGTGGTCTTACCACTAGATGTAATTTTAGTATTTTTATTTTATTATTTTTGATTTGACATTAATGTAATTATTGACCTTGAGTTGTCTGACATTAGTTATTATAAATGTGAATTATATTTTATTAATGAATGTAAGTGACAATAACAGTAATAATTTTGCATGCCTAAAGATGGAAGATGGAGATACCTACTTGAAAAATTGTAACACCTACTGATGTAAACCCATTTTCGCAAAATAAATGATTTGATTTGATTTGACCACAGAGGCGGTTAGACACATGACAAAAAAACAAGGCAACACCTAGCTCGTGGACCGCGCCGCGTGCCATGCGTGACGCGTTATTCTGAAACCAGCCGCGGGGCGCAATCTGTAAATATTGGATATGAAAGTCGAAAACATGGTTACTGCTACTGAATATCAAATATCAGTGAATTACACGAAATTCATCGATTGTTTAACTCCTCCGTGATCTAGTATTTAACTCCCTCGACTCTTTTTAAACTAAATCTTTAATCATAAACCGTTTTCCAGACCAGCCAGTCCCAAAACAACATAATGGAGTCGTTCGGCGGCTTAGAATCGTTCAGCCAACTGCCCGCGGTGCAGCGCGAGCCACAGAACGTGGCCCAGACGCCGCGACAACTGCCGCAGCCCAGCAGAGCGCCTGCGTGGTTGAGGAGGCCTGTCGCTGCTAAGTTTGCTGTAAGTGTAAATGTACATATTTACTAAAGACTGATTTTTCAATTGTGGGATAACTGTTAACTGAAGAATAAGTTTGAATGTGGGAAATATTTTCAAATTGACAAGTTTATTCTGATGATTGAAAAATCAGCCCTTAATCTCTTTGAAGAGATCTATCCCACAGATCATTTGATAAAGACTACGGGAACAACCTGAGAGAAACCTTTGTCGAACAGTGGAACAAGAGAGGAAAGTACGAGATATGGGAGCGACCAAACGCGCACTGAAGTTCTGAGCTCTGAACCACATAATATAATCTGCCAGGATTAGTTTGCCAAATATTCGCGTTCGAATGTGTTCAAATGAATCCTTTGTGGATGAATTAATACTTTATAGATGAATTCGTAATTAATCAACACATTTCTTGTTACAGTTCGGCGGTAAATTAGTTACATTCGAAAAATGCCCACAAGAAGCCGGCCCACAAAAAATGGTGTACGTCAGTCAAGTAAGTTCCATTTCATCATTTTAATAAAATAAACAACAGTTTTTCTGCAGCGAACATTATACTGGTAACTATCACTAGCTTTATGATAAAAAAAACTGTTCTTCAAGCGTTTCAATCGAGTCAAGGTTTTTTCAAATAATGTCAACTTTTTTTATCAAGATAAAACTATATTCATATTGCTACAAATCGTACGCCCCACCAACGCCCCGCACCAACCTTATGACATCGTGTATCGTCCCCAGGTGGTGAGCGATCCCGAGGTGATCGAGAAGGCAGCGCAGCTGGACGCAGCGCTGGGCCCCGGCCTCACCTACGACCCGCAGAACGCACAGCACTTCGCCGAGTAAGGGAACTGCTGATTTATTACGATACCTAACAGAGTACATTTTACGAAAAAGTTTCGCTATGAATATTGTATGTCTCAGTATCAAATTATATGCCTCAAACTTTAGCAAATTCAAATTAGTAAATCTGGGGTGCACTTAATCTACTTGTGATACATAGGGAAGATACACTCAGAGCCTCTTACATCAGCTCCAAGTAAACTGTCAAGTAGGCTACTCGTTGCTTAAAGTCACGAGTAGCAACAAAACCTTGACACTGATAAGACTGATGCAAAAATATTTCTAACTTTTACTTGCTAAATAGTGTTGATGAAGAAGTTACTACTTAAAACTTTACTCGGAGATAGTGGAAGAAACTTTTCAGTCTATATGTATATGTTCACATTGCATTGGGCGTACTGGTCACATGGGCATTCTTCGTTTGATGTAACCGCAGAGAGACCCTCCCGGGCTGTCTCAAACTAACCTCGCATATTTCTACGTACGCCCCGCCAACGCTCCACGTACGCCCCGCGGCATTACTTCATCTACTTCTCCTGCCCGTAGGTATTGCCGCGCGCGCGGCGACGCGGCGAGCGATCAGCACGAGCGCTACACGTGGTTCTTCCTGCGCGCCAACTTCCTGCCCAACTTCAGAGAAGAGGTGCTGAACTTGCTCGGTGAGTTGACTATAATCTCTTGCTGCTTTCGTCACTGAAAAAGATATTATTGCTTTTTAAATCATCGTCATCATTTCAGCCATAAAAGTCCACTGCTGAACATAGGCCTCCCCCAATGATTTCCACATCGCACGGTTGGTAGCGGCCTGCATTCAGCGCCTTTCTCGCTGGACGTCCCACGCTGCGTTTTCCGCCTTTTAAATTGTTAAACTTTAATAAATTACTACAGACCTAGCGTAGAACTGAGTCAGTGCCTGAGGTGAGTAGCACGGGAGGGGTGACATGTGACGTCACAGAGAGCTTACAAAATGAAGTCTCGTTTACTTTAATTTGTCGTCACAAAAACACCCTCCTGTGCCGCTGTCATACCTCATGCACTGATTCCGTTATGTGCTAATAGACCTTTGATAATATAAAACAGTCAAAATATTTTATTTCTTCTTTTTAAACTAATAAACTGCCAGTCCATAAGACCTATCGCTAACTTGAATTTCCTTCATTCTGTTTCTAAGGATCACATTAAGAAGCTTAAATTCGAGCGGGTAAACCCTGTGATTGGTTGAAATTCAATAATTTAACCAGTCTTGAGTTTTATGTTTCCTTTTGTAATACACACCTACATTTTTTTTTTTTTTTTTTTTTTTTTTTTTAAATAATTAAAAAGATTATTAGCAATTTGTTATTACACAAATTACTAATACTCCCGTTAGCCCCTCGTACTAAGCTAAATATGCTTGTGTCACGAGTGAGCTCACCACAATAGTCGTCAACATTACTTGAAAGTTACCTATATTTATTGATATTTTATTGCGCAGGGTTCAAACAAGACGATATCCCGTCGAAGTTCAAAAGCAACGGCGTTCCCGGCGACGGCACGCAGCCAGATGTCGCCGCTCTCAGCCGCGTAAGTGCCATCACGCGATGAAGACTGGCTTGCAAACTCCATCGTCTGTCGCAATCGCTTTCAACGGGATGGCCATAGCAACTGTCAATTGCAGTCGCGAGTTTTACATTTGCAATTTACTCGCTTCAAATGTGGAAATATGAAGTTCTTTCTGATACGACGAACTTTATTGAAGTCTATGGATGTATTTTATAATCGAAATTTTAATATTTTATCTTTATAAAAGATACAATGTAGTCGAAGATCTTGAATTTTAAAGCGATTGCGACAGACCTTTGGTCTATAGCTTTAACACACTTGTGCGAATAAATTCTTACTGACTCTATGGTTATTTCTTGTTGTAACGTAGTTTGTAAGCTACCAGGACTTTGCTTTTATTATTGCTATTAAACTGTTAATCTTAACTTCTTTGTGCGATTGGCCTATTTACCTATTTCGCAAGTGTCGTTTCGCTTCTCACTCTGTAACTAGTTCAGTCAGCCAATAAAATTATTTCAGTATTACATTATAACAAAATTAATATGACTAAGCTCACGTTTAAAGCTCTAAAAAGTAATCTAGTTGACATTTAACTGGTTTACTAATTAGACGGTTAGACCGCTTTCAAATTAGGGCGTTAGAAGCGCGACAGCAGCGCGGCAGCGGCGTTTTTATAATGTGAAAGCAGACATCAGCTTTCATATACACTCGGCATCAAATAAATCGCACTTCCCGCGACAAGCAATTATCAAACGTATGCATCCACGTCCCACCAACATTGGTACCATTTGAAAGCCTAGTTCTAAACATCATTTCATTAAAGGAAAGGTTTTTACCCCAAAAATGTGTCTTGAGAAAGGGTCCAGAGTCACATCTTCAAAAATAGGTTACCTTGAGCCAATTTTTATGGCTAAAAAACTGTTAAGTTGGGATTAATCGCTATCCATTTGTTAAAGAGGGCACGAGAAATCATTATTTGGTTTTATAACCATAAAAATTGGTCTAATTGATCCCAGAGGTGAGCCCAAAGTGAGGTCTTTTTTCAAGTCACATTTATGGTATATGTTAACAATTTATTAAGATATTAAATGTGTTTTTCTTTAAGGATATTTATTGTGCTTTCAAATAACACCGAATATACAGTGTGTCCGGGCATGTAGTGATCAAACTTTATGGGCCAAATCTAGGGACAATTTTATCGATAAAAATACTTCAAATTTGGGGCTTGACCCATTTATCGCAAAATTACAAGGATTTAAGTTTTTAATTTTTAGTTCTCACCTCTTCCTTCAAAAACAAGTGAAAGCGTGGGTAGCTTAACATTAATAAGCAAATATTTTATATCATGCGATAGCCAATAAAATTATCTATTAGCAAAAGTAGAAAACAGATACAAGTTTCATACATTTTAAGGGAGTAAGAATGGATTTAATTAGAAAAAAACATGACTTTTTTCACTTCTTTTTCAGTTATTTTCCAACACAAGAAAAACCAGGTCGTTAAGGTATGTTTTATTTGCATTGTATTATTAGTATTTGAGCTATTCTACAAAACGAATGTAAATTTATTAGTCTACGTCTATTAGTTTCGACGTATTTGTTAAACAAAGATACCCATTCCCAGCGGTTTCCATAGTAATCGGAATAGGTTGTGTGATTCTTTCAGGCAGTGCATTTTCGCATGTCGCGTGCGCTATGGAAACCGCTGGGAAGGGGTATCTTTGTTCAACAATTACGTCGAAACTAATAAACGTAAACTAATAAATTTACATTCGTTTTGTAGAATAGCTCAAATACTAATAATACAATGCAAATAAAACATACCTTAACGACCTGGTTTTCCTTGTGTTGGAAAATATCTGAAAAAGAAATGAAAAAAGTCATGTTTTTTTCTAATTAAATCCATTCTTACTCCCTTAAAATGTATGAAACTTGTATCTGTTTTCTACTTCTGCTAATAGATAATTTTATTGGCTATCGCATGATATAACATTTTTGCTTATTAGTGTTAAGCTACTCACGCTTTCACTTGTTTTTGAAGGAAGAGGTGAAAACTAAAAATTAAAAACTTAAATCCTCGTAATTTTGCGAGAAATGGGTCAAGTCCCAAATTTGAAGTATTTTCATCGATAAAATTGTCCATAGATTACGCTCTTAAAGTTTGATCACTACAAGCCCGGACACACTGTATAAATAAATAATAAATAACAGAATATTGTTGGGGCACCATGATTGTGTCAGAAGAAAATCTTTAAAGTTCGCGTCGCGGAAGGTGCGGTTTATTTGTAGTTGATACTGAAATTATCGGCAGCGCCTCTGTCGCGCTGCTAAAGTCGCCTAAATGTGAAAGCGCTCTTAAGAGAGTTTGTTGTCTGACTGGGCTATGTCCTCGGGTGTATTACTGGCGTGTACCGGGCTATGTCCATGGCACATAAGCTGTATGTTTCTGTCGCTGCGGCTGGCAGGGCGAGTCCACGGAGACGGAGGCAGAGCTGTCCACTGACACCAGCACCGATTTGTCGGTAAGTATCTAGTGGTAGGATTTTGAGGACTGTAATTGAATGATCGAAATGTCTTATAGATGACCCACGCTGAACTGTCCCACCAAACTCAATGACAGGGGGGCGCTACCATCGTTCAACTATATGGTTTCCAACATGGCAAAAATCGGAACCAGCGATCCGGTATTGACGGTGGCGCCCCGCTGTCAATGTCATGCATAGGACAGTTCAGTATTTTGGAACTATACACCCGTATTCACAAACGATGCTTGCTTAAGTGAAGCAGCAAATCGAACGCACAGCGTTGAATAGAGCTCTGTGATTGGTTCGTGTGTCACCCTGTGCGTCCACGCGCACTGTGAAACCTCATAGCAATGTTTGTGAATACGGGCGTTNCTATAATATACAAATCTGTGGGGGATACTTTCAACAACGTTATGCGAAGATTTTAATGTTTCTTTTACTCTTACGCAACACTTTGGTGAGCAGAGAAAAAATATTTTAACAGCAATGCTAATCGAGTTACTAATTTTCATGCACATTTCTGTTTACCTTTCTTAACTAATAAAAAATAATTTATTTGATACCCATAAAGTGTAAGTACGCATTTTCATTGTATTTAAAGTGACAATATGTTCACAGGATGCCACAACCCTGATCGAGAGAAAACTAGCCAACGTGGACATCGGAACTGCTGTCACGAACGTAGTCATACCTAACGGGGAAGGTGAGTAACACCTGTAAAAGTGTATTACGTAAATCAACATTCTTCAAAAAAAAGCTCTGTGATTAGTTCATGTGTCACCCTGTGCGTCCACGCACACTGTGAGACCTCATAGTAATGTTTGTGAATACGGGCGTAAGACTATAGCTAGATTGAAACAGAGTATTTGGAGAAGAACAACCAAGCCCAAAATATAGGGTTAAATGTGGGTTTATTCAGAAAGCTCTACGAAAATACATGTTATTTGATTTTTCTTTATTTATTCCTTTGTACTTTAGCAGAAAATCCCTAAATTCAAGACTTACAGCTAGCTGGAATAATCGTAAATGGCACAGGGTTAAGGTTGAATTTGCGTTGCAGACCCGACAAGCCTGATCTGCCGCGCGCTGATCTGCGGCAACTTGGAAGAAGCCGTGGAGCTGTGCCTGGACGCCTCGCGCGTTGCTGACGCACTCATCATCGCTTCTCTTGGTGAGTGATAGCTTCTGTAAGAGCTGTGCTTTACATTCTTTCTATGGGTCTCACAAGAAGGTTCAAGGTCACCCAATGATCGAAACAGAAATGAGGATATCCGTAGGAGAACCAAAGCAAGAGACATAGCCCGCAAAATTGCCGAACTTAAGTTGTAGTTAGCGGCGTAGTTGGGACAGAAAAGTTCTCTAGTAGCGACCATATACCGGTAAACGTAAAGTAGGCAGGCCTTCCATTCAGTAGACTGACGATCTAGTGAAGGTCGCTGAAAGCACCTGGATACAGGCAACGCAGCACTGTGTTTTGCGAAAAATCTTGGGGGAGGCCTTTGTGTAACAGTAGACGTCCTTGAGTTTATATGAATTTGTACATATTTTATGTTCGTTTTTAATCTTCCAGGCAGCCAAGAGCTCCTGTACAAAGTGCAGAAGTACCACCTGAAGCAAACGGCGTCGGACCCGGTGTCCCTGATATCGGGCAGCTTACTCCAGTCCCGATGGGACACGCTAGTACAGTCGGCGTCGCCTCGCAACTGGCGGGACACGCTGGCCGCTATTGTCACGCACTGCGACGGCGAGGCGCTGGCGCACTACTGCGGTGAGTGTACCTGCGAAGTGTGTACCTGCGGAGTGTGTACCTGCGGAGTGTGTACCTGCGGAGTGTGTACCTGCGGTGAGTGTACCTGCGGAGTGTGTACCTGCGGAGTGTGTACCTGCGGAGTGTGTACCTGCGGAGTGTGTACCTGCGGAGTGTGTACCTGCGGAGTGTGTACCTGCGGAGTGTGTACCCGGGATACTGCCTCGGTTTTAGAATAGAATAGAAAGTATTTATTTGTCTCAAACAGGTTAAATTTACAAGGTATCACAGTGTACAACAGTGATTATGAGACAAAGGTCTATGACTCAGAGATCGCAAGAGACCGATAAACCCTGTTATTCATCAGCCATAGCCAAAATATTAATATTATTTTGCACTTAAAATTACAATAAACTTGAATTAAAAATTGCTACGTGAACTTATATAAATCACGCTTGATACAATACATTGACAATGTGTCGCAACGCAGGAAAGGCTATGCAGATCTGCACTTGCTTCTCCGCGCGTTATCTGCGACCCCGCGTACCGTTATGGAGGGCGGTGCAACGTTATAAACGCCTACCCTCCTATAAACTGAACTCTTGTCATTTTGTACAGAGATGCTGGGCGACAAGTTATCTGCCGAGTCGGAGCCAGCACTAAAGGAGGCAGCCTCCCTGTGCTACCTATGCGCTATGTCTCCGTCGCCGCTAGCTGCTTTATGGGCGCGGCGCGTGGACGCGGCCGAGCGCGTCCTTTTAGCCGGCCGGGCTGCTGCCGCGAGAGGTCGTCAGTGGCAGGTAACTACAGCTGTGTGGGGCTCAGGCAGCCCTGTGCTGTACCATCGATGACTGTGCGGAGATTAGGTGTCCCTGTGCTATACCACACGCGGCTGTGCAGAGCTTAGGCGGCCCTGCGCTATACTACAGGCGACTGTGCTGAGTCCAGGCATCCTTATGGACTGGCCCAGGTGTCCCTATAGGTGGCTTTGTGGAGATTAGGCGTCCCTGTGCTACCTGTGCACCATGTCTCCGTCGCCGCTAGCTGCGCTGTGGGCGCGTCGTGTGGACGCCAATGGCGGGTAATTAGTTGTATGAAGACCAGGTGTACCTGTGCTATACCACAGGGGCTGTGTGGAGCCCAGGCGGCCTTGTTCTATACCATAGGTGGTAGTGTGGAGCTCAGGCGTCCCTGTGCTATGCCGTAGGTAACTGTGCGGAATATTTTCCTACAATTATGATTCCAGATATGTACCAATCTCACTTAACACCAGGTGCGATTGCGGTCAAATACCTGCTTTGTCTAGCGTAAAAAAAATTACTGGCTTTTGAATTGAACCAAAGTGAGGTACCTAGCCTAATTTGATTTATTTTTCTCCCCAGAACGGCGACAAGCTAGAAGCGGTCCTCGTGGAGTACGCGTCGCGGCTGGCGGCGCAGGGCTGCCTGCAGAGCGCGCTCAGCTCGCTGCAGGGCCTGGCGCACACCGAGCTGCGGGAGCGCCTCGAGCGCGCGACCGGGCTCCCGCGGCCCGCCGCCCAGGTGAGTCCAGCGACGCGGGCTCCCGCGGCCCGCCGCCCAGGTGAGTCCAGCGACGCGGGCTCCCGCGGCCCGCCGCCCAGGTGAGTCCAGCGACGCGGGCTCCCGCGGCCCGCCGCCCAGGTGAGTCCAGCGACGCGGGCTCCCGCGGTCCGCCGCCCAGGTGAGTCCAGCGACGCGGGCTCCCGCGGCCCGCCGCCCAGGTGAGTCCAGCGACGCGGGCTCCCGCGGCCCGCCGCCCAGGTGAGTCCAGCGACGCGGGCTCCCGCGGCCCGCGAGCTGCAGTGTTAGTGAAGGCAGGCCTGTTCATCTCCGCGAGTTTACATCGAAAACAAAACACGCACGATAGCCCACCTACAGGATACTATTCGACAAGGCCTCACATACGAGCGAACATTGACTCACGCACGCGTATTCTTGTGTATGATGGAAAAAAATAAAGAAAATGGTGTACTAAATACTGTGCAGTATTTAACTGCCTAAATAATAATAAAAACACTGAATGTACTTTTTTAAGTTGCCTCAAGACACTGAGAGGTAAATAAGTAGTTAATATTATTCATGATAATTCATGCTAAATCATGTATTTCCTCCGCCATTTTCCGCAGTTTGGCACCTCACGTCACATCATTTTACCGAAGGCAGCCCTATAGCTTCGGCGCAGTGCCGATCACTGACGTTTGTCAACAAAATGGTGCTTGACTCTTGAGACAGGCTAAATTACACCATATTGTTAATGACATTGAGCATACATTTTTTTAAATACCTTCACGAAGTAAAACTTCTGTACGTAGTACTTATTATTATTCTGTGGTTTATTCATGATAATTCATGCTAAATCATGTATTTCCTCCGCCATTTTCCGCAGTTTGGCACCTCACGTCACATCATTTTACCGAAGGCAGCCCTATAGCTTCGGCGCAGTGCCGATCACTGACGTTTGTCAACAAAATGGTGCTTGACTCTTGAGACAGGCTAAATTACACCATATTGTTAATGACATTGAGCATACATTTTTTTAAATACCTTCACGAAGTAAAACTTCTGTACGTAGTACTTATTATTATTCTGTGGTGGAGGATAAAGTTGACAAAATAAAGCACTCGCAGCAGGTAATACTGCTCCTCCAACCGAGTCCCGATCCTAATGGAGTAGAATAGAAAACTTTTTATTTGAAAAAAAGGTATACTAGCAGGCAAGACAGATACAAACAAAGAGAAATATACAAGTGGACAGTTAACTAGTTGTGCCCCTCTGACAAAAAGGCTCGCTCAGCGTACATCAAGATCGCCAGGGCTTGTCTTAAAACTGATTTTCAATGGGGGCCCTCTGTTGTCACGGCGTACCCCTGCTGACGGAGATGCAAGAGGAGAAAGGATACCACAAGTCCGGCAGGCTAATAGCGTCTTTACTTTGCGATAAATCGTATCAACCAAATTTGAACTTCCGCTGCAACTCCTACCATAGAAAACTATTCTGCTTTCTGGACCGAGGACCACAGGATCCCCAATCCTGATCCTCCAGAAACTACGTTCTTGTTGAGACGACTTTCAGAATAGTCTGAACAACACTTATCCGGCTCGAAGGACCATGTTTAACCCTCGGGTCTAAAACAAATCGAGGACTTTAGAATCTAGGAAACATAATTGGACATTGAGTTGTTAGCTATTCTTATAAAATGTCCTACTCTGCTTTTTACACTATACATTAACGTCATGTTTGTCTTTGTGTCGCAGCAGCTACCAGGCCAGTACACACGCAACCGTACCGTGAGCTCGCACTCACAGAAGCGAGGTCACTTGACCGCACACAGCGACAATAACTCATACGGTGGAGTGAGTGGTGAGTAAAACGCATTATAAACTTTAAAAAGCTTCAACATCTCTAGATAAATAAGTTAGTGAAATAATGAGCTTATGTCAAAAGGAAAGAAAATTGGTACACCTGACAAGTTAATTCTAGGTGGCCTCGAGATTCGATATCACTTCGCAAATTGAAAAATAAAATCTCTATTGTCTTGGCAATCTTCTTTGATAACAAAAAGAGTTTTTGTTTGTCATAACAACATTTAAGAGTAAATAATCACCAACAATAGCTCACAGAACTGATGGCCACTGGGGCAGAATAGTTCTCGAGTGGCGACCATGAGCCGGAAGACGTAGCGTGGGCAGGCCTCCCACTAGGTGGACCGACGATAGGCCTAAGATGCGCGCCGTGATAACTTTTATCGACGTCAATTTGTATGGGCACAATCGATAAAATGGCGTGATAACCGCCTATCACGGCGCGCATCTTAGGCCTACTGGTGAAGGTCGCGGGAGGTACCTGGATGCAAGCGGCGCAGGACCGGTCTTTGTGGAAATCCTTGGGGGAGGCCTTTGTCCAGCAGTGGACGTCATTCGGCTGAAACGAACGAACGAATCACCAACAGACACATCCATAGAGATGTAGAGAGATGCCAACTAATGCGCTGAGTTCGACACTCAGTGTCGCATTAGAAATTAACACACAAAGAAATCAAAATATGTGCGCATTATTCACTGCGGTATCAGTACTCAACGTTCGAATAATCTTTAGTACTACGCAAGCAATGTAAACTGTTTACATTATGACGTCGCTGCTGTGATCGTTGATTTCACGAGAAATGTGTTTTGTTTTTAGGCAATTTGCTGCGGCCCCGCCCCTTTGTCACATCTCCCTTTAGTTTCTGCTAAAGCCCGGTCTGTGAGCACGTAGAATTTTGTCCAATGACCCCAAGCTACCCATCCTTATCGCTCGCGCGTAATTATATTGCTGTCGCGACTATGCAACGGGCGCCAGCAGTGAGTGTGCGAGCGCGACAGCAACATATTTACGCGCGAGCGATAAGGATGGGTAGCTTGGGGTCATAGGACAAAATTCTACGTGCTCACAGACCAGACTATATCTGTGTCACATCCTTTGAAATGTTGTATCTCTCCGCAGCGCCTCACGTATACCAGCAACCGTGGAACGAACCGCCCGCGCCCGCCGCCCCCTTCCCACCGCAGCCCCCGCGTCCCGGCAGCGTCGGGCCTCAATCAGGTACGTGCTTTATGACTTGGTGATAAGGTTGAAAATATTTTAGCAATAATGTTGCCACTGATGTTAAGGCGTAAGGATTAAACAAATGCTTCAATGAAATTACAGCGATTTTAGATTTTACCACAGGTAAGTAAAACACTTATAAATGTAGCCTCACAAAGAAACCCACAATGGGATGACACCACCAATCAATGAGAATCAGTACTGTTGTAGAAAATTCAATAAAACTAGTATCTACGTTAATCTTTAAGACATAAGAATGATATATCGTTTTGAATTATCCAAATCGGACCATTACTTACGAAGATATTAAGTAATAAACATAGGCCGTTTTTGCCGCTAAAAGTCAACGTACGCAGGGCCGCGTGACGTCATTATATCCGAATCGAGCGCAGCCGGCGTACTATTGGGATGGAAAATATTTTTTTCCAGCTAAACTATCAGTTTTAGAAAAAAACTTTTAATAACATTTATTCATCAAAATAAAGTAACCTATCGACCAGTAATTTTTAAAAATAAAAATGGGGGAGGGGCTAGCCTTACCCAGTTTCTGGTTCTGGCCTAGGGGGGGGTAAGTCATACCCAGCTTCTGGCCTAGGGGGAGTCAAACCCAGCTTATGCTTATGGCCTGGGGGGAGGGGCAAGCTTAAATCTTACCCGACTTCTGGCCGAGGGGGAAGTCATGCTCAGTTTATGACCTGGGGAGAGGAGAGGGGCGGGGAAGTCATACCCAGCTTCTAGGCTAAGATTAAATAGATTTCCAGGAGGGAGCAGCTGGCCCGCCCATGGGAACGGCGAATAGATAGGTAGGTACGTAGGTTTAACTCAGAAAAACTAAATAACAGGTAGGTATTGCGTGTACCTACATCGAAATGATCTTCATAGCAATGTCTTGTAGCCTAGGCAGAGTGTATCTGCCTCAGCTATACTTATTGTTAGAAGTAAATAAATTAATATTTATTCATTTTTATATTTTACTTGGACGAAGATATGACTCCAACAACACTTATGAACACTTTATTTGAATAAATCGCCAAATATACCACCGCGGAGACCCTAATCGCGTCTCCGCGTTCCATTGAATCGTATGAGCGTATGGATTTTTTGCGATATTTTTCACAATTTCTATTTAAAAAAATTACCTATCGATAGCTTACTTTATTCTGATGAATAAATGTCATTACAAGTTTTTCTCTAAAACTGATAGTTTGGCTAGAAAAAAATATTTTCTATCCACGCAGTACGCCGGCAGCGTTCGGATCGGATATAATGACGTCATCGGTCCCGCGCCGGACGGTCAGTGAACTTTTTTAGTAATTTGGCCATAACTTCGTCAATTTTTGTCGTAGAACAAAAATTTTTGGACTGTATATTAAGGATTTCTTAGACCTATAAATCTGCATTCACAGCTAAAAATCGAAATGATCCTCATTCACGTACTATTGGCAACAGTGTTAACTACCCATTGCCGGTCATGTCATCTCGTTCTATCGCAAAGAATCACCATTTGATGAGAGCGAGAGCAAAATCGGAAATGGATAGCTAACAGTGTGGCCGTGTGTACTTTATAAAACTGTCAAACAAGACTCCCATAGAGTTTATAGGACAATACAAGTCCATGACGTCACTTTGGCCAACTCATTTTACTAACTTTTTTCAATTACAAAGCAACCAAAATCTGGGGGCACGGCAGTGCCCCCGCCAAGTCGAGCGCGAAGCAAACACTGCCGTACCATCCTTTACTGGAACCATTTCGCCGCATTTTCAGGCCCCTATTTGAGAACCTCTGGATAAGACCAGAACGCAGAAATTTTCGTCATCTAGTAAGCTATAATCACATACTTAAAATCCAAAATTTCAAGTCTGTAGGTCATTTAGTTCCGAAGTTAAGCGAAAGCAAAGTTTCGCATTTACGACACTCACTCACTCACTGATGATCATCAAAATAGAACTAGTACTTCCCATAAACTCAGAGAGCTGAAATTTGGTACAGAGTTAGGGTTTAATGGCCACATAAAGGGAAAACTATAAAAACTAGGAAAATCGAAGATCTGGAGTAACACCACATTCATAATCAATACTACTCCGGCACCGTGGTGTTCGCCTGTATCGCTCACCGCTAGATGGCGCTAGCATTAGCAAGCGGTGTCTAGATTTTTTCCTTTCTAGAGTCCCCCGTCGATTAAGTTGAATGTTGTGTAATTTGCATTTCGTTGATTTCGTTTATTATATTGTAAGGTTCGCTAAGGTTCTTTTATTTAAACAATTCTGATTCGTTATCCATTTTAAAGGTCGTTGAGTTTATTTGTGTTTAATATCGTAAAAAAATGTCGATAAAACGACGACGTTAAATAATTTTGCCACTTTCTACAAAAAGAAGTGAAATCCCACCAAAAACATTCTGTAAAAAACTAGCCAAGTCTCGATGGAGCTGCTTGTTTATCTCTAAAAAGTAATGAAATCTAGACAAAGTCGTGCCTAGTCTATGGTTCCTTACTGCGATTTCTTTATTATTATAGTTATTGTTGTGTGACTTGGCCGTTGAACAATCTTTATTAAGATAATCATACATAAGTATTATTGAAATACGCAGCTTTATTAAACCTATAATTGACTGGTTATTGTTGAATCAACGTTTTCCAAGTGGCAATTTTCCATCGTCAATGGGTAGCGGTTCTGGCGACAGATTGGTGCAATGGTATCATAGAGCACCTCGTTTTGTACCCTTCAACGGCCAAGTCACACAACATTAACTATAATAATAAAGAAATCGCAGTAAGGAACCATAGACTAGGCACGACTTTGTCTAGATTTCATTACTTTTTAGAGATAAACAAGCAGCTCCATCGAGACTTGGCTAGTTTTTTACAGAATGTTTTTGGTGGGATACTTAATTTACAATTGATTTAAAATTGATTTTTTAAGACTAGAATAGAATAACGTTTATTTTGCTGCCACATGAATACACATACATACATAAAACAAACAGTCAACAAGTGTGTTTATAAAAAAGTTGGTGAATGGTGTCAAATACCCAATTGAATGTAACCCTAAAATTCCGCAGGTGGTCTAACGTCCCGCTCGAAGTACAAAGTGGACCCGTCCGTACAGTCGGCGCCGCTGTACAACCAGTACAGCTTCAACAACCCGGCCGCCGCGCAGACCTACGGGTATAACAGTCCCCTGCCGGACCAGTACAGGTGAGGTTGCGAAAGTATTAGTACAGGTATTGTGAGTTGGAAATGAAATTAATCTATACTATCTATACTAATATTATAAATGCGAAAGTAACTCTGTCTGTCTGTCTGATTTTGATGAAATTTGGCATAAATGTAGTTTGAGTACCGGGAAAGGACATAGGATAGTTTTTATCCCGGTTTTTGAAACAGGGCCGCCGCGATAAAGTTTTTCTGTGACAGACAAAATTACACGCGGGCGAAGCCGCGGGCGGAAAGCTAGTTAGAATATAAATCTTGAGAATTGAGATTAAAAATGTTTTTAATACTGATATTAACTAGATTTTCTTTCTTTTACATCTCTAGGAATACCTAAGATACAGATATTTACAGTCTCGTGACGTCACTGAACACTGTAGTTAGTATGGGCAGGCCTGTTCATCTCCGCGAGTTTATATCGAAAACAAAACACGCACGATGGCCCACCTACAGGATACTATTCGACAAGGCCTCACATATGAGCGAACATTGACTCACGCACGCGTATTCTTGTGTATGATGGAAGAAAATGGTGTACTAAATACTGTGCAGTATTTAACTGCCTAAATAATAATAAAAACACAGAATGTACTTTTTTAAGTTGCCTCAAGACACTGACAGGTAGATAAGTAGTTAATATCATTCAGGATAATTCATGCTAAATCATGTACTATTTCCTCCGCCATTTTCCGCAGTTTGGCACCTCACGTCACATCATTTTACCGAAGTCAGCCCTATAGCTTCGGCGCAGTGCCGATCACTGACGTTTGTCAACAAAATGGTGCTTGACTCTTGAGACAGGCTAAATTACACCATATTGTTAATGACATTGAGCATCCATTTTTTAAATACCTTCGCGAAGTAAAACTTCTGTACGTAGTACTTATTATTATTCTGTGGTATGGGTGCGTGTCATGTGACGTCACGCTCAGCTAACACACATATTAACACAGTTTTTCATTCGCAGTTCTGCCAGCGTTCCCAACCCTGGTTACGCGTCGGTCACCAATCCCGTCAACTCCATCAACCCACCGCCCCTGAACCCTATCAACCCTCCATCTTTGAACCCCGTCAATACCGCCCCACTAAATCCCATGAACCCAGCTCCCCTCAACCCACTAAATACCGCGCCACTTAACCCAATGAATCCTGCCCCACTTAACCCTATGAATCCCGCTCCACTTAACCCTATGAATCCCGCTCCACTTAACCCTATGAATCCTGCTCCACTTAACCCTATGAATCCCGGTATAAACCCTGTGAACCAGGGTAATCAGAACGGGTATTACCAAGAGTCCGCAGTGCCGGTCAAACCCGCTGCACCAGGGTGGAACGACCCACCTATGCTCACTTCTAAACCTAAGGTTAGTTATCAATGTTTCTATTTATTTACTTTCGTTGAATCAAATTTCGAACACTAAGACTAGGCGCAGACCACCGATTTTTAGTTGGCCGATAGTTGGGCCCGATTTTAATTTGTATGAAGAATCGACCAAATCAAATCGGTGTAATGTGCCATGTCCATTCATGCCCATACTGATCAACTGCCCGACTAAACTATCGGCCGACGAAAAATTGATGGTCTGCGCCTAGGCTAACAACTGATAAGCCTTTAAGGCTGAGTTGCACCATCTTACTTTAACTTTGACAAACGTCAAAAATCTGTCAAATTCCATACAAAACGCATCGTTTATCGTCATAGTTACCGTTATACTTAGGTGGTGCAACTCAGCCTAAGTATTGTACTGATTGGAAGCCAAAAACTCGTGGAGTAGAGATTAAATCTAACTACTGACAGAAAATATAGTGACTGAGTTTCTTGCGCTGCTTCTTCTCAGCACTGGCTCATTTATTGTCCTGAAGCAGTGGTAGGGTTAATGAGTACTGGGACTTGTAAAAGTGCTTTTTTAAAGCCTATTTGCAAAAATAAAATGAGTTTTTAATTAGAAATGAATTAACTCACTCAGATACTGAATAACTGTATTATCTACCATGACATGTGTTCTGCAAATAAAATTATTTCATTTGTATTTAGTTTATAAAGAGAAAACATCAACATCACAAATATAATATTGAAACATTTAAATCCGACACCTAGAAAATTAATTATTTCAAAGGCTATATTCAAATATTAAAATAGTAATACACGGGTCTTTATTATTGAGTTACATTATGTACTCACGGCTTGACGTTTCGGCTGCTATGCTGCTGTAAATAAACGTCGCGTTAATACCCGTGTCTTACTATTTTATTGAAATAGAACGCGAAAGTTTAAAATCTTATATATTCAAATATTGTCTATCAAAAATCGCAAGTAAATAGTTTTAACCAGCATTATTTTCCGTTCCCAAGTGGGTATATCGGTTTTACTCGCAAAGGTCGGTGCTGCCGCGCCACTGCGATGATGATGTGATGTATAGTTGCTCTTGTGTCGGCCAGCCAAGCGGCGACATGTCGGCGCTGCACGCGGGCACGCGCCAGTGGAGTAATATTATCGAGCATAGGCGGCATATCGGCGAGGTAGACGCATGGGAACAAAGTCCATTGGGTTTAGAATTTTGTTCAAATCAACAGCAGTTTTTGAATGTATTCATCTCTCGTTAGGGGGCGTCGATTAATTACGTGAGACAATTTTGGCTAATTTTTAACCCCCCCACCCCCCTTGGTGAGATTTCATGAGATTTTTCAGACCGCCTCCCCCACCCCCTAATCTCACGTGAGATTTTCCAAAATGCCTATTTGCAATGTAAATGAGATAATACATGCTTCGAAAATATTAGATTTTATATAAAAAACTCGACCTGCGTAAAAAAATAACTTTTAGTACAATTTTTAACTATTAGTTTACATTTTGTTAATATTTACGCATTGGTAGTAAACTGCGGATCTAAAAACTGTGCCTGTGTTCACAAAGGCAGACGGAGGATTTACTCTGTTTGTTGTGGAAAAAAATTACGTGATATTTCTCGACATCCCCCCTCTCCCCCACGTGAGATTAAGTGAGGTTTTTCTGGACCCCCTCCCCCCCCTAAAAGTCTCACGTAATTTATGGACGCCCCCTTATGGCGCAGTTACACTATGCGCGAAATTGAAGTCGAAGTAGGGGCGACGTATGGCGAAACGAACTGAACTGCGTGTTTACACTATCTGAGGGATTAATGTGACTTCACATCCAACGTAGTCACTAGCGAGCGCGTTAAAAAATATATGAAGATTTTAGTTCTTGAAAGTTTCCGCTAGGGGCGCTGTACATACAATCCGTCATACATTTAATGTCACTTATTACGCAGTCGATATCGAATGCGTTTGACGTAAACTCACACTACACTCCCTGATTCGACAAATGGCAATGCCAGATTTTGTATGGAAAGTGGCGTCTTTTTTTTTTCGCGCGGCCATCGATCAAACTTTGTTTTTTGATAACAAAATAGTGTAATAAACCAAACTTACTATGGCATGTATACCTCTAAACTCAGTCTGAACTGAGTTACGAGCATTAGAAGAAATTGCAACAAAATATTGCGATATTTTTTATTGCGCTGATTCTGCTCCATACTGATGTCTGGAGCATTTAATGGATGGTATTGTTTGTTTACACATACAATCTCACTCGTTTGTTGCAATTTCTTACAAAACCTTGCGCGCAANACTCGTTTGTTGCAATTTCTTACAAAACCTTGCGCGCAAAAAGCAAATCTAGTATGAAAATCATCAAACTTCTAATGCTCGTAACTCAGTTCAGACTGAGTTTAGAGGTATACATGTCATAGTAAGTTTGATTTATTACACTATTTTGTAATCAAAAAACAAAGTTTGGTCGATGGCCGCGCGAAAAAAAAAGACGCCAATTTCCGGCATTGTCTTTTTGCGCATAGTGTCCCTTTGTGTAGGCAAAATGAGTGACAGTGACAGATCCGAAAAATAAATGAACATCCTTATGGAATGGAGTAACCCCTCAGGCATTATAATCAGGGTTATTTTGGAGCTTCTAAATCGTATAGGCCTGATTTTACGTCAGATTTCTGTTTAAAACACCAGATTATGTGTATGTTTTATGTATATTATGGACAGAGATCTAGTGTAAATATGAGTAGGTATGTGACTGAATGAAAGTAGCAATGGACTTTGTTCGTTTTATACGCGAGTCAATGGAGTTGTTTTAGTGTGACCCTTTAATCTAATGCCATTCACCAAAAATACAAGAACTTTATTGGCCTGTAATTTAACCCTTCATCTTTTAGGCGTGGTTTATATCTTTTAGCCTTCCTTTGTTTTCGTTTGTATTTGCCGTGTTATAAAATGTATGTGAGAAATACTAAAATACATTATACATTTCAATAACAAAATTCTTGCAGATAATTCTTAGTTAGCTACATCTATCGCAGTGAAAAACCATGTTGCCTTCATATTGCTTGCCGCAATCGCACTATACCATCAAAAATAAGTCACATATGGAAAAAAAGTGTATATAATGTCTTATGTGAAATATTTTTTGACTTTCTGCCACCGAACGTTATCATTTCTAGGTCAAATTAATAAAACAAGCCCTCTTTTTTCCTATCAGCCGAAGCAAGAGGTTCAAGCGCAAGCCCCGATCACCCATCCTCTGTTTGGAGTCGAACCGCCACAGCACATACCGCTAGCGCCGAACAACCAATACCCGGGTCAACAACAATATCCGGGTCAGGCATACCCAGGTCAACAGCAGAGCCAGGTGTACCCGGGTCAGCAGCAGAACCAGATGTACCCGGGACAGCAACCTGTGCAGCCGTACCCGGGACAGCAATACGCAGGTCAACCGTACCCGGGGCAACAGGCAACTATGCAGTATCAAGATCAAATGAATCCTGCATTCCAAGGAGGGCGGGTAAGTGGTCATATGTGTGTTATTATTTTGATAAGCACATAGTAGTGTAGGAATTTTGAATTTGAATATCACGTCTTATACTGTCTGAAACAAAAAAGGGTTGTGATGTCAAATGTTACAACCCATACGATAGACTAAGATCTTGAAATAAAACGCGGCGATTGGTTTAACTTTAACGGCGCTTGTGTGTGTAACAAAAGATTTTATTAGAAAAAATATCGGACATATCTGTTAGAAAACCAATGAAAGGTGGGGTTATTGAATGGAGATCACGTCTCAAAAACAAGCGCAGCTTACCATACCCACCAGCTCTACGGACCGATAGCTTAAAAAAAGGACCGCTCGCAGCGGCCAAATAAAAAAGTGAGAGACCGTGATTTGAAGCGTTCATTGAAGGCTCAGCAAACTGCTTTCTCGATGAACATAAGCTATAATGATGATGATTCTAACTTAAAAATGTAATGTTTTATAGGAGAGCCCAGCGCAACCGGCGGTGCCCCCACCAGCCCCTGTGAAAGCGCCCATTCCCGAACAATACGCTGCCATGGTGGGCGTGTTCGACGCGCTGCGTAACGAGTGCTACAACAGGGCTAACAACCCGGTAAGTAACTGTCTGGTTAACACGTAAGACACGTTGACATCCTATCGTTTCTGTACTTACCACTTGGCACCATTGACTTTACTCTATAGTCCGGTCGCCGAGCACGTGGAATTTCGGCCAATGACCCCAAGCTACTCATCCTTATCGCTCGCGCGTAATTATATTGCTGTCGCGACAATGCGACGGGCGGCCGCAGTGAGTGTGCAAGCATAAGGATGGGTAGTTTGGGGTCTTTGGACGAAATTCTACGTGCTCGGCGACCGGGCTTTACAGTGGTGCCATCTTAGTGAGTGCAAAAGTGATAGTCCTCCTACCGCTTCAGTGCTCACCAGTTCGTGTCACCGTCTTAGCTACTAAGTGACAGATGCTACTCTACAGTGGCGCCAACTAGGCTTGTGTAGTACATGTACTATACAGTGTGAGTCACGTTAAAGTGTACATATGAAAATAGATGAAACTAGACCTATTTTTATCGACAAAAAAGAGGTCAAAAATTTTTTGAGATTTTTTTTTAATTTTTTATAGAATTTTTTTTCTTCAAATTACTTATTGTAAAGAAAACGTAATAACTTTTAAACTAAGCGGTATATCCTGATAAAATAAAAACAGTAATAATGCTAAATAACAGGCGATACAAAAAAAATACATAAAATACACAAAAAATGTCAACAAATAATAAAAAATGATACTTTTTGAAAAAAATCTGCTTAAAAATTCGTGTTTTTTTGGTTATTTTATAAATTTCTCCAAAAAATGCCCCTATTACCGGTGGTTTTTATTACTTTGTATTATTTTCTATCGTATTATCTTTGTAAAACCAAAAATCGCATGTCTCTATCCCTATCACAACATTTGCTATGATCGTTTGAACAAAGGCCTGCCACAACATTATTCTCCGCTACAGGTAGAGACAATTTTAATTTTAACTAAAATGCTTATTTTACTTCGAAATCTTTTGTTTTTATTTGAAATCTAACTTGTCTTTATCAAAATTACAAATCTAGAGCCATTTTCAGTTTTGTTGTTAACGAAGCGTTGAATGGCGCGCCCGGAGAGGCTTAGTTCAAACGATCATTGCAAACGTTGTGATAGGGATAGAGACATGCGATTTTTCGTTTTACGAAGGTAATACGATAGAGAATAATACAAAGTAATAAAAACTACCGGTTATAGGGGCATTTTTTGGAGAAATTTATCAAATAACCAAAAAAACACGAATTTTTAAGCAGATTTTTTTCAAAAAGTATCATTTTTTATTATTTGTTGGCATTTTTTGTGTATTTTATGTATTTTTTTAGTATCGCCTGTTATTTAGCATTATTACTGTTTTTATTTTATCAGGATATACCGCTTAGTTTAAAAGTTATTACGTTTTCTTTACAATAAGTAATTGGAAGAAAAAAAATTCTATAAAAAATTAAAAAAAAATCTCAAAAATTTTTTGACCTCTTTTTTGTCGATAAAAATAGGTCTAGTTTCATCTATTTTCATATGTACACTTTAACGTGACTCACACTGTATATTAATTGGAAGCTATTCCCTTAAGTGAACGAAAACGAACTATTCCTTTTTGGTCGTTCAAATCGGTCTTTTATTTCACTTTAGTACAGCCGATCACGAATGAATAGGTGTGAACGAGACGTGAAATTGGTGACAAGCGCGCGCGAGCGAGATGGATTCGGCTCTGTGAGTGTGTTGCGAGTATTTTGCGACATTGTACTATAAGATGATAGTAATAAAGACGTTTTTCGTCCGATCTGATTAAAATTAAAAAATCGATGTACTAAAATGAACTATAGTCCATTCAGCGTAAGATGGTGATTATGACAGTTCTATTTAGTGAGGCGCTCCTCATAAACCTAATCGATATTTTTTAGAATCGAGAATATTTTCTATAGAAATCTAATCGCCTTTTATTTGTTTGATTTTTAATCTTGATCAAAATTATATCTATGAATTTGAACTATCTGGAAATGGAATAAACGTGAATATTCTTAGTGGTACAAAATAAATCACAAAGAATTAAATATATGCATTTTATTCAATAAAACATCAAAATAACAATAACAAACAATACGTGGAGAAATCGCATAAAACAAAACCGTCATCAAAAGCAAACGCACACGTACTGACTTAGCTTTGACCTGCCTGAGATAATAATCGTGATTTGATTTTAAGATGACCACCATGCCGATTACTGATTTATTGCGATTGTTTATGTCCCATCCCTATGAGCAAAAGTTCCGACTAACGCAGAAGCAATTCATTTAACATTTTTTCACATTTTTTTCTAAATAATAAACTAATAAATAATTAGAAATTCTTGTTTAGGTTAATTGAGAAAGATTAGTGATTGATATTTTGGAAGGATGAAAACACACAAAAGTAATTGATTTTTACAACTAAATATTTTTATTCGTAGAAAGTTAGAATCATAAAACGAAACGTTTTATCGGTCTAAATCACCATCATAAGTTGAATGAACTATAATAGTTCTTAGATTAGTGACATGTGAGCGCGATTGAGATGGGTACGGCTCTGTAACTCTGTTGCGAGTATTTTTAGATATTGGGCCATAAATACATAGGAATAAAAACTTTTCGTTCGATCTACCTAATAGAATCAGTGTACTAAAATGAACTAATAGTACTAGAAGACCGAACAAGTTCATTTGACCGATTGTACCAGTTCGGAGCGATCCGTTTAGTGTCCGAGTAAAAACAAACCTAGCGCCAACTGGTGGCCGCTAAAGCGATCGCCTTCATTGAAGTTAGGTAGTGCGTGAATGTGAAAATAATTATTTTTATTTTTCTTGCAGCAAATGAAACGAAAGTTAGAAGACGTGCAAAGGAGGCTAGAAACATTGTACGACATGCTGCGTGAGCACAGGGTAAGTTATTTTAATAAAAACGCCGTACTAGACAACGCTAAGTTTTCACTATTATTTTTAACATTGTCTAATAGTAAGGCTGGGTTGCGCCATCTTACGTTAACTTCGACAAACATCAAAATCTGTCAAACTCCATACAAAAACACCGTTTATCGTCATAGTTACGGTCAAAGATAGGTAGTGTAACTCAGTCTAAAAGTTTTATTTTTTGACTTCACGGTTACTTTATTGCAACTCCATTATCATGTTATATTTTTGATATTTACACAACAAAAGGTTATAAAACAAACAAATAGTATAAGATTTTAAACTTTCGCGTTCCAATTCATCTAAAATAGAAAGACACGGGTCTTAAGGCGACGTTTATTAATGAGTTACATTTTGTACTCACGGCTTGACGTTTGTAGTCTGCTTGGGACCAGCAGCCGAAACGTCGAAATTGTCTTGTACCCGTGTCTTTCTATTTTAGTTAAACAAATACTAATTCTAAACAACTTCCAGCTGTCCGAAAACGCGTTATCTACCCTCCAAACGTGTGCTTCGCTCGCTGCGCGCGCCGACACAGAAGGCGCTGCTCACGCAGTCACTAGTCTCGCCGCGGGAGCTGAGTTCGCGGCCGTGGCCAGCTTCCTTCCAGCACTCAAAGGCTTGCTACAGCTGGCCCAGCATCTACAGGTGCAGTTGCAATAGCTGGCGACTACAGCTGGAGAAAAAACGGCTATAATAGCTGTGTCACAGAGGCCGAAATTGTAACTTGTTTCAAGCTCTGTAAAACATAGTCAATAAGAGACTCCTCCAAGTTGCTCAGGAAAAGCTGTAACTTATTCTACAGCTCTATGAGTTAGCATAATTCGTGGCATTGTCAATAAGGGACTTTTGCTAGTTGCTTAGGCAACAACTGTACCACAGCTTAGTGAGTTATAGGGACTTTTGCAAGTTGCTTAGGCTACAACTGTACCATAGCTTAGTGAGTTATAGTTTGAGGGACTCCTGCAAGTTGCTCAGGTAACAGCTGTAACTTATTCAACAGCTCTATGAGTTAGCATAATTCGTGGCATTGTCAATAAGGGACTTTTGCAAGTTGCTTAGGCTACAACTGTACCACAGCTTAGTGAGTTATAGTTTGAGGGACTCCTGCAAGTTGCTCAGGAAACAGCTGTAACTTATTCTACAGCTCTATGAGTTATAATTCGCGGCATTGTCAATAAGGGACTTTTTCAAGCAGCTGAGGCAACAGCAGTTCCACAGCTTAGTGAGTTATAGTTTGAGTGACTCCTGCAAGTTACTCAGGAAAAGCTGTAACTTATTCTACAGCTCTATGAGTTAGCATAATTCGTGGCATTGTCAATAAGGGACTTTTGCAAGTTGCTTAGGCTACAACTGTACCACAGCTTAGTGAGTTCTAGTTTGAACAACTCCTGCAAGTTGCTCAGGTAACAGCTGTAACTTTTTCCATGACTGTGAGTAAACAATCAATAAGAGACGCCTGAAAATTGCTCAGGAAACAGCTGTATCTTATTTCACAGATTTGTAAGTCGTAGTTTGGGCGACTCCTGCAATTTGCTCAGGTAACTAACTTATTTGACAGCTCTGAGAGTAAACATAATCATTATCATATGTGACTCCTGCAAGTTGCTCAGGAATCAGCTGTAATATATTCCACAGCTCTGTGAGATATACTTTGAGCAACTCCTGCAAGTTGCTCAGGTAACCTTATTCGACAGCTCTAAGAGTTTATAGTCCGTGGCATTGTCAATAAGGGACTCCTGCAAGTTGTTCAGGAAACAGCTGTAACTTATTCTACAGCTCTATGAGTTAGCATAATTCGTGGCATTGTCAATAAGGGACTTTTGCAAGTTGCTTAGGCTACAACTGTACCACAGCTTAGTGAGTTATAGGGACTTTTGCAAGTTGCTTAGGCTATAACTGTACCATAGCTTAGTGAGTTATAGTTTGAGGGACTCCTGCAAGTTGCTCAGATAACAGCTGTAACCCTTGCAGCCCTTAAAGGCTTGCTACAGCTGGCTCAGCATCTACAGGTGCAGTTGCAATAGCTAGCGATTACAGCTGAAGAAAAACGGCTATAGGAGCTGTGTTACAGAGGCTTTAGGTCCGGTAACTGTAACTTGTTTCAAGCTCTGTAAAACATAGTCAATAAGGGACTCCTGCAAGTTGCTCTGGAAACAGCTGTAACTTATTCTACAGCTCTATGAGTTAGCATAATTCGTGGCATTGTCAATAAGGGACTTTTGCAAGTTGCTTAGGCAACAACTGTACCACAGCTTAGTGAGTTATAGAGACTTTTGCAAGTTGCTTAGGCTACAACTGTACCATAGCTTAGTGAGTTATAGTTTGAGGGACTCCTGCAAGTTGCTCAGGTAACAGCTGTAACCCTTCCAGCCCTTAAAGGCTTGCTACAGCTGGCTCAGCATCTACAGGTGCAGTTGCAATAGCTGGCGATTACAGCTGAAGAAAAACGGCTATAGGAGCTGTGTTACAGAGGCTTTAGGGCCCGTAATTGTAACTTGTTTCAAGCTCTGTAAAACATAGTCAATAAGGGACTCCTGCAAGTTGCTCAGGAAACAGCTGTAACTTATTCAACAGCTCCATGAGTTAGCATAATTCGTGGCATTGTCAATAAGGGACTTTTGCTAGTTGCTTAGGCAACAACTGTACCACAGCTTAGTGAGTTATAGGGACTTTTGCAAGTTGCTTAGGCTACAACTGTACCACAGCTTAGTGAGTTCTAGTTTGAGGGACTCCTGCAAGTTGCTCAGGTAACAGCTGTAACTTTTTCCATGGCTCTGTGAGTATGAGGCTGATGAGGCTCTGTAAAACATAGTCAATAAGAGACGCCTGCAAATTGCTCAGGAAACAGCTGTAATATATTCCACAGCTCTGCGAGTTATAGACTGGGCGTCTTCTGCAAGTTTCTCAGGTTACATCTCTGTTTGTTAGCACAGTTCGTTGCATTGTCAATAACGGTCTCTTGCAAGTTACTCAGGCAACAGCTGTAACTAATTCTATAGCTATATGATTTAGCAGAGCTTGTGGCATTGTCAATAAGAAACTGCTGCAAGTTGCACAGCATCTCTTTAATTAACTACCATGGAGTTATTATAGTTTGTGGCGTTGCCAGCTTACTACCTGTTAAACGATGTAACCTGAATGATCAGTAGTTACAATATGGTGACTAAAATCAGAGACTGATTCCAAATCTTCCCGTAGCTTGCGAATTTTGTAGCTGATTTCAGTTACTGACAGGTTACTTAAAGTGTTTCTTATCTAATTAATTCTAAAACTAGCTACTAATACAAAGTAATTGGTAGTGTAGCAATCAGCTCACAGTGTAATAATAGTAGGCTGGCAAAGCTGTTAATCTATATTGAATATGTATTATAAACTAGCCATCTACTGATTAATATCCAGTTATAGTAATATTTAGGCATAAATTATACTAAATTACTTGTGTACTTGCAATGTATAGGTACTTATGTAAACTTATTTATAAATGGCGCTGCAGAGCTTATTTGTAGATCCAGTAAACGCTGCTTCTGCAGTATACTTGACTTACTGGTAGATTAGAGTTTCAGTCGTTATAATGTACTACATAATTAAAATCTAAACTGCATCTTACTTAACATCAGGTGCGATTGTGGTCAAATACCTGCCTTGGTATGCATTAAAAAAATCAGTGCACTTAAATCATCATACAAAGTATTAAAACAATAGTCAGATTATGGCATTAAAATGGTTATATCTGACAGCTTAAATTACATTATCTAATTAGAATGGAGTAGTCGAGAAGAAATAATTCATTAAAACATTAAATAAGCTAATATCTGTCTGTAGTAGATCTAAAGGTAATTGTATTAGTCTAAAACTAAAGGTAGGTTAAAAAGTAGGTTACTTCTTTCTCTATGAAGAATACAACGTTATATGTTAGCTAAAAAGCTGCATGAATAAGTAGTTTAGATGAATTTAGATATTGAATTTTTTTAGAGTTTCTTTGAAAAAGTCAAATGATTATTTCTTCTCGAAAACTTCCAATTTTATACAATTTACACATACCCATTTTCACTTTTGTACTGATATTATCAACATGTATAAAGTAATATAAATAAATAATTTAGTAAGTAAAGAGGCAGAATAGTTAAGACGTTTTGGTAAAAGTAAATTTAGATAGTACAGCTAAGAGCAAAATTATTTTCCATTTGCCTTATATTGTAAAATATTAAGGACCAGTTTTGAATTTGAGTCAACAATTGTGTCGTAGTCGAGTTTGAGTCAGTAGACTCACTTTAAATGAAGTTGAATCAAATCTTAATCATAAGACATTATGACGTCAGCACATTAGGCTATACGTGATGTCATACTTTCAAATTATGAAAGAAAAATACATGTTGCAAATTTACTCCTATAACAACTACTTAATGCCATTTTCACTTGAGGTGTCATCGTACGTTCCTTGATTTGTATTAGAAATTAATCAATGAAATGTTTGTTTTAAACTAATTAGATAAACAATAAAAGCATTTATTTGAAGTATCATATTTATTGATTTTATTGATTGTAATATTAATAAAATTTAATCATTATAAATTGCGATATATTTTACCAATAATAACAAAAAGCTAGGCCACTGAAGGAAACTGTAATCTATGCATATTGCATGTATGTAAATCATGCGTATAGTTTAGTTTTCGTTTAAAGGATGTTTTAAAATTATTTTGTGACCTAAGCTATTATTATTGTTGGGTAAAGACGACATAAGAATCGAAACTAAAGTAGATGCAAGTGTTATTATGTTGCAATAAATAATTCCCAGTTTCGATTGTAAAGGTGAGTGCATATTTGATCGTATATTTATTGACCTAATTTAAAAGTTACGTTAATGTCATACCACATTTTTTTCGTTTTAAACAGAAAATATAAGTACTATGTACTTTTTCTTTCTTTCCCTCTTCTTTCATTCTTCCCGTTGCCTGTGGAATCAAGTAAAGACAATGTCTCATAGCACAAATTAAAGAATTTTGTGTGTACTCACCTTAACAAATAATATAAACAACAAAACATCATTAGCTATGTAATTTAAAAAATAAAAAATCCATTTAAATGTTTTTTTTTTTTAAATAATGTGCTAACTGCTAGTTCTATTATTAATTTATAAATTAAGTTTTGTATTGGAGTCCTATTAATTATTATAATTCAAACTATGCCTCATAATTTTAGCAAATTACTTCCGAAAGAACAGAGTTATTTTTTCAATGAATGTTTTTGATTTTAAATCACTGGATGCGTCTCGTGTTGTTAACTGATTTGATATTTGCTGAATAAACAATTAATATATTACATTATTAACAATGTGTTATAGAATTATTATTATTATATTAAATAAATTATATTTTTAGAAAATATTTTGTCCTTTTATTTATTGTTAAGATGTAAATTTTATAATACTTAATATCTTTGCGTGGTATTCTTAAAAAGGTAAATAGTTCGTTTGAATACCGCCAGGGGTTTGTTTTTGGTTCGTTGTTCGGTTGTTCTCGCCATGACTGTTTGATTTGTAATACGTTTTATTTTACTTGTAATATACGTGAGAAATCTTACTCAAGAGTTTATTTTAACCACACCTTAACATTTATGAATTCCAGAGATATCGATATAGGAGATAATTCGCAGGATTTGAATATGCCTTCACAACACATAGTTTTATTTACATTTATTTCATGACATAAAACACAAAAATATGGACCATACTTCCAGACAAATATTTAAACCTAATACTTAATGCCTAGATAACTTCAAAATCTATTGAGAAAGTGAGTAGGATAGAGTTGATTATAGTTATAGTTATTGTTTTGTAGCGTAGTTTTCTAGCAGGCGCGACCCGTCAAAGGATATTTTGTTGGTGCCTGAAGCATAACGCGGCGCAATGCGACAGAACTATACTCTGTCTATGACAAGGCTGCTCAACCTTTAGAAGAAGTCGGGCCAAACGGTGGATTTCAGTCGTTTACGACGGGCCACTTACATTTCCTATTTCATTTAATTTCAGGACAAGCTCAATTACTAAGATCAAACCACACTGTGGCCCGCGGACCTGGAGTTGGGCAGCCTAGCTCTATGCCAGTGTTTTTCAACCTTTTTCATGACACGACCCCCGTGCCCCCAGTATGAAAAAAAAAATATTGCGACACCCCGACCGTTCGCTTTTTTATAATGTTTCAAAGATGTTGTAGAGACTGAATACTTTAATCCATATAACATTTACACATTTGAATTAATTTTTCGTAGGTAATTTGGATAAATCTGTCTTTTGAAATTTTACTGTTATTTTTACTGAGGTAGTGTTTTTACGATCTCCCACGACCCCCTATAGAGGTTGATGTTGAAAAAACACTGCTCTATGCGACTTAAAAGAATACAAAGTTAGGTCGCATTTCGACGTCCAACTGGTGCGTACTGTCGCAAGAAATAAAGATTATTTGCTTACTAAGAGCTTCACATTGGTCTAAGACAGTCTGATTACCGGATTAACTAGATCCGGTAATTAGATCGTTAACACTGACATCAGTCGGACATCTCTATGTGAACAACTCATTAATTTTATTATACTTACTCACGTCTCTAACCTAAATAACAGATGATAAGTGTTTCCTATTTAAAGTTACATCAACTGTTTTGTTTAAAACAGCGCCTACCCCCATAAAATGTAAAACAATGCGCCGCTAAGTAATTTACGTCCCACTTGGAGTTGATGGCTCGCCGTCCGCTAAAAGCCGCGTAATGCCGGATCGCAATCGTTCGCAGTGCATTTTGGATTTTTACTATTTAGCTCAATGCAGTGCATCAGTGCAGGGCCCATTCCACGAACGTGGGGTGGGAAAGATAAATCAGTAGTGCGGGCACAATGGCGCGGGGTAGACTACGATTGGAAATTTAAATTTGAATGCGTGGGTATGTCGTAAACAAAACGTGTTCAAATACCTACCTAGACCGTAGCCGTACCTGCGGTAGATTATTTCTATTTTTGCTTAAGAAAAAGCTACGGTATTTTTACCTATTTGGTGCTACAAAACATCAAAATATTTATTTTGTGCTACAGACGATTCCATGCACAATGCGCTACGAAAATTCATTAATAATAATGTGCTACAATTTTAATAAGATATGAGATAAGTAGTATGTACGATTAAGTTAATAGATAGGATAGGAAATGATCTCTTGTGAAAACTCTGAGAAAGTAGGATTTACTCGTTTAAACTATTTATTGTGGCAGCAAAACCTCATCTAAGACGAGAAAAGTATTCGTCTAAGATGTGAAAACTATTATTGTAATTGCTGCCGTACCACTGTATAGGTATGCAATGCGTTGTATCAGATTGTATCGTTTCACATCAACCTATCGATGCAAACGCGTCGCGTCCCTAAACCCCGTGGCGCGATGATGCAGCCGATAATTACTTGAGTGCGTTCCCGTGTCGGGCGCGATCGCTAAGCCCTCGTAATGCGCTGTTACGGCGATGCAAATGTTTTGCAGCGGTAACTCAAGCCCTAACAGGTCAGCTCGGTAATTGAGTAAGGTGCTCCTCCACTCCTCAGCTTGATAGACTTTGTGGTAACACACGTACTTGTAGGCGACACTTCTGGGTTTACAGAAGTCGACAGGTGCCCCATGTTACTTAAACTTTTGCTATCTCCTAGTGGCTTGCAATTCTGGTTCTAGCTCCGTATACTATACCTTTTTGCATCTCTTGGTAAGAAATTGAGACAGCACCTGATGGTAAGATATTGCAACTGATCATTGATATTTGCAACACCAGAAAATGCCTTTTCCCAAAAATGATTATCGCCTTGCACAATAAGATTTACCTTGCGCAATACGATCGAAATCATAACCATATCTTTACGATTACAGTAAGCGATTCAGCATACCAAAATGGGTAGGGTTCCGTAATCAGCTAAGACACCAAGTTCGTCCCATCTGTCTTTCCGTTTCTTACAATCTTACTTGTAGAATACCTTATTTCCTAAACTTTTTGTACGTATCTAACATCTCATCCACTCATATCTCGCCCACTCCAGCTCCAAGATGAACAACATTCGAATAGGAGCATGAATTGCGTGCCGATACGAAACTTGCCATATTTCAATCGTCCTTTGTTCGAAGTTGGACAATGGTACAGTCGGCTGAGAAAAATCGACTCATCCATCATGTTAGATGGGTGGCTGCGACCTGCGACTGTTGGGAAATAAGGCTTGGTCGACTGCAGCTAAACAACGTCACGGGGACTGATGGTGGAAAATTAAAAGTACAGCTTACGAATGTATTTTATGGGTATAGCAGTACCTACTTATTATTATTCTGTGGTATAGCTTAGTTAGCGTAAGTAGTTGGGAAATTCACTATTGTTGATGTGCAACCTAAAGCTTTTATAAAGCTCTGAATGGAAGTTAGATAGAAAAGTTTTCAGTAATCCTAGTATATATTAATAAAGTGGGTTAAGCCATCGTTTAATAGACTATACTAGTATAAAACAAAACTATCGAATTGGTTGCCTTTAAGATCCAGGTGGAAAGAATTTGATTTTTAGGAATGTTCGTCGTATTTATTACACTAAATATTTTATTCTCTAAGCTTCCATGTTTTTCCGATTTTCAGAAGATTTTTCTAGTCCACCTGTACCCAGTTCAAGGGAAGTCGAGTCGAAAAACGAAATACGAATGAGTTCCCAATGAAGTTCGCATCGAGTCAGCGTCGGTCAGACGGCGATCTCGCGATTTCCCGATTTATTGAGTTTCGATCTTTTGTCGCTGTTTAGTCGTTTCTTATCGCTGACTCGCGACGCAGACTGCAGTTTGTCATTTTTCTTTGAAACTTTCGTATCTTTTAAAATGAGAGTCTCTTGTGCCAAACTTGGACATTTGTGTTGGCACATATTCTACAGGAGAAACTGATTAATTTTTAAAGATATTTAGGGATGCAAGTTTTGATGGAGATTTTTTTTAAAGATTATTAGCAATTTGTATTGCACAAATTACTAATAGTCCCGTTAGCCCCTCGTGGTAAGCTAAATAAGCTTGTGTTACGAGTGGGCTCACCACAATAGTCAAGCGGCGGTGGGATTTGAACCCGCGTTCCTCGGATCTCGAGTCGGCCAGTCCGACCCCTTCACCGTTCGGCTAATCGTGGCTATAAGATTAAGCAAAAGCTTTTCGACACAACAGTTCTGCAATGCAATAATTGTTATGCAAACATTAATAACCACCAACCAAATTATAAATGATTATTTCTCATCTGCATGCATTGGATTGTAAACCTACTTCGTTTTCGATACTCTCACTCGCTCTCTCATTCTCCCTGGAATATTCACATGAGAGATAGAGTCGATATTGAAATACCTAGTTGTGTGTAGTAGAGCATAGTTCGATGCAACAGGATCCTCGGTGCATAGCTGCTGCGTCGTGTGTCTATACAAGTAAGCGCCGGGATATCGCGGGCGCGCCCTCTACTTGGCTCCCGAGTCCATTTTAACACGTATTCAGTGACGTATCGTACTGCCTACTAGCCAGAAAATCACGAGACTACAATTGAATTGCGATTACAATGCACATAAAATGACTTTCTTACCTGGATCCAAAATGTCGTCGTTGTACCTGTAAAAAAGAGAATTTATAATTAGGTATTATATTATATCGTCTTAACGTGTTGCATATAAAAAAATGTTGAAATTATGATTACACTAAAAAAATGCTACCGTAAAAGGAAAACATGCAAAAAAATTCTTGATCGTTCTCGTGGTGTAACGGAACCGCGCGCCTCCTCGGCTCGGATTAGCCGACTGCAAGGCTCGCGAGGCATCCTATACGGGGGATTAAAATAATACGGCACAGATG